ATCGGATGGATGGAGATTTAGGACTAAATTGACAAAAGTGCAATAAATTTTATAACTTTTTTGGAAACTTTCCCGATTTAATCCTCTAAAGATGACTCGTTGTTTTCTAACTCCTTGTTTTTTATAAGTAACATGCAAACAGATTTACCTAAACGGCGGGCCGAGGATATTGTGAGCTTATCGGAGAAAAAACTAACTAAGGTCAGACGGTTCGCGGAAGCGAACGCAAAGGCTCAAGGCACACCCATCCAAAAGGGACCTAACCTATTAGACCCCGGGACCAGCCTTATCTGTTAATTTTTTTTTCTCGATTTAGGATTCATTTCTCCTCAACTCAGTGTTTCGAACTCAAATTTGAAATGTTCAAAGATTTGAGCTCGATTGGTATTCTTAATGTAATAATGTAATAAAGCAGGAAGCTCCACATTCAATCGTTGCGCCCCCATCATCATCACTATTGTCTAAAAGAATGGCGCAAAAGGGCTCGTCTCGACTGCCTTTATTTCTAATCAATGAGCACCCACCAATACACTCATCATCCACTTTTTCTTTAGGCAATTAGAACATTAATAACTACTTAAGTACTTGGTAATTTTCCGCCTTTCCAAACTACCAGAGAGCGCCCTCCTTTTCCGGCACATTTTCGAATTTTGAATACTTTGTGATGTTTTTTTGTTTCATGCAATTATAAATTGATAGGTCTTCTTTGAACTTTCTAAAGCTAAATTTTTGTAGTCGTACTAAATGGTTATATACCATTAAAAAAAGAGAAAAATTAGTCAGCTGCCCTTTTGATAATCATGTCCAATGTCCATTAACAAATCTTCGTACAACCCATCATTTTATTTTTTTTGGTCGTGCCATCCATCATTGAGTGGTTAGCCTTTTGATTAATTGAAATCGAAATTAGCTTCTTTTTATAGGACAGAAAGAGATAATCAAGTTTGATTTGCCATCAGAACATGTCCAGGAATCATGTCCCATGATAGCAGATACAATTTGTTCCTCCTTGATTGGGCCAAGTTGGTTAGTTGCCTGTCTTGGTGGATTAAGACTGGTAATGACAATTAGAGAACATGTTTGGACAGTGCTAATCGATGATCCATAAAACAAATGGGTGCTAATTCCATTAAGAAATTAGTGTTAAATGCTGATTTGTTTGTCATGAATTTTGTCGTTTAGCCATTCCAATGTCCTTTCTTGGGTGTTTCCTCCTGAGATACTGTCTTCTGCTGGAAATGGGCTGTGATCAGAACCGCAGCAGCAGCAGTTTGTGCTTCCTGGTGCTTCATGAATTATAATTAATGCTTAGGGAAGTGGCACTAAAATCGTCCGGATCTTGCCCTTTGTTTGATTCAAATGTTACAAATTTTCTTTCCTATTTTCATATAACAGCGAGAGATGGTATATATTTTTGGACACTCCTCGTGATCTAGATTAAACCCACCTCTCCGGTCCGGTAAAAGACAAGCAATCCGAATGGGCAGCACCGTGGGATTCACGCGGAACTATTGCCTTTTGGCATAGACCTCAGGTGGTGGCATCAAGTAATCAAACCCGAAATCTCATGCTTCTTGAAACGCAATAATCCTAAGTTGTTTTATTGCTCAATCAACACTTTTAGGTCTCAACTTTTATTTCTTTAGTTGTTTTATTACAAAGACCCCGCGAATCAAAATCTTAATTATGAGGCAAGAAACTGATCTATTTGATATGCTAGTAATAGTTAGAAAGCACACGAAGGAATTTCAAGAATGTTACTGATTTACTATGATATAAGCAAATGATCACTTTCATCTTTTTTATAGATGGTATAGGAAGTGAGCCTACCATACTTATTCGAAAAATTAAGATAATGATCAAATTAATTATCCTCCTAAACAAATGACAATTATTCCTAGAGGAAAGAGAAAGGAATTATTATTTTATTCGAGTCATTTTTTTTGTTTGCTAGTTAAAGAGAAAAAGGAAAAGGTCGCTAAGAAAGTGGAAGGTGGGGAACAGTCTTAGTGCGCTGGTGAATGTGTATATCTTATCATTGCGATTTGGCCCAAATTAGAAATTAAAAAGGCCTCGGAAAGGTGACCGATTGGCAATGTCAAGGTACAATGTTACCAAATTGAAAAATTGCCGGCCCCAATTTTTCAAATAATTTTTAGGTTCGATGCTCATGCATGTGGGACATATGTTGGTCATATGTTTTGAGCCAAGGGTTAGGCGCTTGTCTCGCGAGAATCACAACGTAGGAAACATATTAAGATAATAAGTAATTAATTAAACTCTATGGTCTAATCATTCTGATTAATTGGGAATATAATTTACAGGCACCTTACTAAAATAGGTGAAAACTGTCCAACTTCGTGTTAGGAGCTTGTCGTGTGGCCACTTTCCACGTTCTTTCGTTTTGTCTTCTGTTGGCGATACAAGATTAATCTTGATCCGAGGAAGCTCTCGATGATTTTTTTTCTTTAAATTAATTCCGTCGACAAATTAGAATTTATCTAATTTTATATTTAGGAAGTTTATTAAGACGGTCAATGGAGGTGGTCTCATTTTGCATCCCTATGCTTCGCACGCTTTACAAGTGTCGCTTTCTCCTCATTCTCTCTTTTCAATTTGATTTCGGTAAAATTACGCACGTTTTTTTCGATTATGAGCAGTTTGATAATTAAGTTGCACGTGATTCTTCTCTTATTTTTCCGAATATCGATGGTGGTATTCGGGGTTTTTTGAGCACCCGACTATATCATTGTCCGAATGTTTCACGTGATGTCAATTACAATCAAAACACAATCGAAATTACACGAAAGTTAATTTTCATAAGGAACAAAATTTCGTTGTTTAGTTCAAACTTGGTGCATACACTGTCACTAGCCATCTTTAAGAGATTATACAAAACTGCTTCGAGAAATTATTGAGATAGGGACCTTACTAACAATTGTTTTAAAGCTTGCAATCATCGCGAATTTTCAAATTTTGGACGGAATTACATATTTGCACACTTTAGACTTAGATCAAAATCTAGCATACGCATAAGGGGGAATGTTAAAATATGCAATTATTAAGCCTCACCTTCGTTTTACAATTATAAGCTTTTAAAACAATTAACAATGATTCCACAAAAACTCACACACATCTAAGTAACTATCTAAATATCTATGAACTGAGTTTAGAGAATCGGTTCGTATATGAAATGTCAACATTCCACACCTACTTGTGAAATTGTTGGCGGAATCTACGATTCAAATATTAAGATAAGATTCAAGTTAAGGCATATGTCGAGGAAAAGTAGCAAAAAAACACAAGAGTCCAGCCATATCAAGTTCAACCCCCATCTTAACCTAAGGTAAAAACGTGTCACTTTAACCATTGTACATATTCGACCAAAAAAAAAATCATTGTACACAAGGGCCACCTCAATTTACTTGAGTTAAACGGCAGCAACTATTACACCAGTATGAATCTTGTCACTTGTGTGATTTGCATATCTAGGGGTAAGCAGTTCCAGGTCCAGATTCCGTATAGGTTATACCTATAGCAAGCACCCTACATGTTGGAATAAGTTCCTCATTTTTTTGGAACCTGAAACCGACCCTGAAACCTAGAACCTATCTTGTCATAGGTTCCAGGGTTGGTTTCAAGGTCTACCCAGATTTCACATATATTATTAATTGAAACATTGCAGTGAATCATCGTTACTTTTAATAACCACCACTTGCTGTTATAATCCATTAACCACAACTTATATTTAAACATACAAAGAATAGGAAACATTAATAAAGTAAAAGTCTCGGCCATAAAATGGAAGCTCGGGTTAGTAATTCTAGATTATACATTCACCATCTGACGCCATCAAATACCGTAAGATCACAGGAAGACATAGATAAAAAAAAAAAATACAAAAACTTATTCCAGGTTCCACCTACCTAAAACATAGAACCTATCATGCATACCCTGGAACCAGACATATTCCCACCTATCCGGTTCTAGATTCTACCATGAAACCATGCTCACCCATATGCATATCTATGTATTTAAGTTAGAATCGGCTTCTATCTCAATTTTTTGTTAATTCCGAAATTATAATCCCATTAAAAATAAAAATCCCTCTTTCATCAAGTTACTACTTAACTCAGACATGTTTTATTATTAACTTTTACAGATCCACTCAATTAACTGACTGTTCAATTCCTTTCGAAAACATCACTTCTTTTTCTCCATAAGACAATCATGCAAACGGGTAGTGCATGCCTCAACACTAATATCTTATTATTCCAAGCAATAGGGCTTTACGTGCACGGATGTATTTAGTCATTTAAAACTGTCAAGATAGATAGTAGCCTCAATTGAATATTCCAGTTCAAGAATGGTATTTCACTTGTTCAGACTCTATAAACTACGTGTGAATTGTTCCGAATCTGGGCACTTTGTACAAGCCGAAGCTCCTGTACTTACCCCGGCTTACTGCCCTTGTATGATGTTTCACGGGCCTCCAAATGGCAGGGACACTCAATGACCGTGCCCGCGGATTTACGAAAGAAAAAAAAAAAAAGCATTCTCAACTAGCAAGGAAGATTGCGGCATGCACTAAATTCCAACGAGCCGTGTCCCCCAGTTGCTTTTAAGAGAGCCTCGTTTAATATTTGCACGCGGAGTGAGATTCTTCTTATTTATCTAAAATTATACAATTTAGACAGCATTATTTGACTCCTGGCAACCTAGTTTTAACCCCCTCCCGTGGAGATATTCTCATTAGATTCCCTCAGTCAATTTGTTTATTTGCAAATTTCACCTATGGACGCAACTTCAACTTCGCAATATATAGCTAATCAAAGTTTCCAAAATAACGTCAACCAATTTAAGACTTTGCAATTTATGAGATGGACCAACGAAATATAATTCAAAATCGAACAGCTTCACGGCTTCAAAGCGGTCCATTGCATAAAGTAATTTTCTGTTATATTCAGTCAATTCGCGAATGATGAATTATAACATTAACCTTAGTTTAAAAAAATTGAATTTCCCTTATATTCATGACAAAAAGAGAGAGAGAGAGAGAGAGAGTAATGTCATGGTACAATTTGGCCGTACTCAATCCCCCTAGAAGATAAAAGCACCTGTACATCAATCATCCCATCTTCTGTACACTCATTCCTTTCCATATTTTCTTTCTTTCTTTTGATCTTTTTTCGAATTTTGCGAGCTATGATCAATCGAGGGTCTCTTCTTCTTCTCTTCTAAAGCATGATTCGGGCAACGTGGTGATTGAACCTCGGATCCACCGCTCTCCGCCTCGAGAACTTGATCTCCTCCGCGCATCGGAGAGCTTTCTCGATTTGGTAGCCGCCTCCGATGCCCACCTCTCGCTCCAGGTGACAGCAGTAGCTCTCGAACACGCTCAGGTTCACGTGCATCTTGAACCCCATCAGGAACAGGAACTCCAGCTCCAAGCTGTTGATTTCCTCGGTCCCCAGCCCCCCAACTCGCGCGAAGTAGGAGTTTCTGTAATTCCTGTTCCAAGAAAAGGGAATCGAGAATTAGACATTGGTGCCCTTGGTCATCAAGACTTTTGGAGAATCTAATGATTGTGTTTGAAAGGGTCGTTTGAAATGATGTTGGGTGACAGTGAAAATGATGTTAATGTCGATGACGCATCGTACGACATTTAAGTCGCCTCAATCTTTTGTCATAATTCGAAATGATTTTCAGAAATTTAACTGGAAAAGTTCAAGAACCGCGTTTTTCATATGGTTTTTCAGGACCAAGTTTCCGGAAAATGCCCAGAGAAACCCAAGTTTCACTCTAATTGAACCGTAGAGAAAAAGATTGGAGAAGGGAAAAGGAGAAAGAAGATAGAAAACTCACATGTCCTCCACATATTTGGAAGCCACCATGATCGTCGTGATGAGGAGCCTATGGACATTCCTAGCATTGATTCTGAACCCCGGGTTGGCCTGGCAGAACCGGTCTATGTAGACGTACGCCACCACGTAGACCGACGGGCCGGCTTTCGTGTACCGGAAGATCCTCTCGAGGTAGCTCTGTATCGTCATGTCCGGCGCCTCGTGGCAATCGAAGACGCGCGTCTTCGCGTCCTTCGACAGCGCCCACGGGCAGCTCCTCGCGATCCTCTCGTTCCGGGACATCGTCCGCTCGATGAGCGAGGCGAGGACCGAGACGACGAGCGGGGTCTTCGAGTCCTGTTGGTAGGAGAAGGAATAGAGGTCGGACCGGAGCGTTCTCGGCGAGATCATCGCGAGAGAGGACGAGCCCATTTCTTAGAAACGTATTGCGGGGTCTTCGAGTCTCGTTGGTTTGAGCTTTGGCTTAGGGGGGGAGTAATTTGAAATTTCTCGGTGTTGATGTTGAGATGAGAGATGATTGGAAGGTTTTGAGGGGGGAGGGGGGGTTTTATATAGGACCTCAATGTGTTGGTACTAAAGAAGAGAGTGAATGGAACATAGGGAAAGAGACAATAAATATTCATCAAAGGAAAATTAGGGTTTCTTTTATCTTTTGGAAGGTGGGTGGAAGCCAAGATAATATTAAAGATTAGTGGGAAAGCAGGGTGGAGATTGGTGTGTGCATTGAAAGTACAGACACAACAGCTCAGCTTAGTGAATTTTATAATGCGTTGGGGCTTAACCTGGTTTGATTTCATTGGGTTTAACCTAATTTAGATTTCCATTTAGGAAGAGGTTTCACACGTTGAGAGGCCTTGACAGCTCGCCGACAGTTTGATATGGGGCATGATATGGCAGGAGGAAAGAGCTTCATTGATGGCAGATTGTCTTCACCAGGGGGAGGGTCCTCCTCCTCTCTTCTACAGTGTCTCAGACCAACTTGCGCTTTTGACTCTCTTTTTTCTCCTCTTGGATTGAGAGCATTGATAGGTTCTTGAATCGTATGGCAGTGTACCGTTCAATCAAAACTGATTGCTTGTATTTGTAGTATTTTGAAATGTGGGAAAGAGAGATTAATAAGATCTTCGGTTGATTATTTGGGTTACGTTTACTTTTTAAGGTTTAGACGACCATTTGAATCGGATCACACGTTTGCTTATAAGCATTTAGAAGAGGGAAATGGAAATGAGACCCGAGATATCATAACGAGCGACGTCGAAGACCATTCCTCAACTTGCGGCCAGAATAATAAAAAACCCCCCTAGTTTTCCCCTGTTCAATTAGCTTGGTCCGCTCTCTTTTATTGTAACAAAAAATGGTCATTGCGATTTGTCACGGTTGAGTTAGTCTACAACGTCGAATTTCACAGTCCATGATTTTAAATGCCCCATACAAAACTCGTGGAATTTCTCGTGATTTGTGTGACCGACGTTTCTACACTCTAGACTCGCTCTCATTCGATGAGTGATGATCAGATAATACCGAGCAAAATTCTATTACCATAAATAAAAACTATCTGATCAAATTGAAAAAGGATTCGACAAGTTATTTTCCTTTTTGGATACACCCATACAGATCTTGGGAAAGATTTTCTCGGACGATTTCTCCGAAAATAAAAAAACTCGCCGACACTTCGTATGGCGCTTGGAAGAGCACACGGGGGGGGGACGAAAGGGTCCCTGGTTGTTCTATCGGAATGGACCCAACACTGTATAATAAAACAAAATAAACTTGCAGGAATAAAAAAAAACACAAAAATTTATAAACAAATAAAAAGAGGGACAAACAAGTTTTTTTTTTTTAAATAATGAAAATAAATAAGTAAAAAATTTGGGAGATATGAAGAAGACGGCAATTATGGAGGAGTACGACCATGGTCTCGACATCTGTGTCGTTCAGTAAGTGAGGCGAGTGACCAGTTACACGTGCAGCTGCACCTGAAGTTGAGTTGACTCACTCAGATCCATCCGTCCAGCCCACCACCTCACCTCAAATCTCAGATGGGAAAATGAAACTTCCCTCCCTATTTCCTCCCTTCCGTACGGAGATCCATTGGCTTCTTTTTGCAAGTTTTTTCCTTTTCTTTCTAGGCCGGCAACCACATTGAATGAGCTTTGTTTCCCAAGTTTTCTTCCTTAAACATTTTACCCAATTCAATTAAGAATTCAGAAATGTTCCGGTGTATAGGAGTGTCAACGGTTCGGCTCGATTTTTGAAACCAGAACCGAATCATCGAGACAGTACGCTTGCACCGAGCGAATCTCGAACCAACCTGGATTCGGATCGGGCCGGATGAGAGCAATGAGGGGATCTATGCCGAGAGCCGGGAAAACAAGATCGGTTGCAATAGGTATGCTATCCTCGCAAGAAGCGAACCTCTTGTTTAAGCCATTTAACTGACTGTCTTTTAGCCGCAAAACTATCCGAAGATTTAGCTCGAAAGAGCATAGAAACGCTTAGAGTTGTCGGGATGATGTTGAAGTGATTAATCGCCGAGCCGTATTTCTTAGAGAATCATGCCAGGCTTTGAAGAAAATGATTTTAAAGAGCATTGGAAGCAGTAAACTCTGAAATTTTACAACTTTCCTCTTATTCCAAACTGAAGGATTACATAGCATTATATAGGCGCTCGAGTACATTGTTGGACGACGATTCAGTATAAAACAAAACACACCTAAAACTGAGTACATTATTGGACGTTCTGTCCATACTCATAGGATTAGGTAAAAGCGATCTTGGCATTTATTATATATTCTGATGAAACAGTGCTCAAGTTAGGTAGAAACAGATATTATGATTTCTCATGACAATTTTGAGAAGGGTGAGAAAGAGCTTTTGATTTTTGTTTTAGAATTTCGCTTAACCGAACCAAACCGAAATAACTCGAACCGGAAGAAAAGAACAGTTATTTTTTCATTATCCAAACCAAAAATGCACGAAATTACAATTCAATTCTATTCGGTTTGGTTCCGGTTTTGATTCGGTTTTCGGTTTAGTTTTTGACATCCTTACCGGCATATCTCAAGCACAAAAGATCAGCACCGGCGGGCTCGCATATGTGGACATGCCGGAAACGACCTCGCAAGCCGGTGCCTTCAAGGCAATTTGTTAGATGTGCTTTGTGAAAGGGATACATTAAGACTCGGGGTTTGTGAGCTCTGGGGCGTCGAATCGGGCTCGATACGTGGAACTTCTCCAGCGTAAAAGTAAAAGAAGGTGCGAAGGAGTACGTGGTGAATGTTGTTCGTGGTTAGACTCACCGGTTTGGAAACCGAAATGCGGGCGAGCGTGAAAACTGTCGAATCAATCGGACTCGTACGATGGTACGGATATGTAGAAGTGTCCTCCGATGCGCCGGACGCGGCTAGCTCGATACATGTGAACGCTGAATTGTATGGTGCTCACGGTCCGGATACGTCGGGGTCTAATACGATTCGGGGGCGCAGCAAATGATTTTGTACTTGCATAACAATCTATAGACACGAAATCGACGTGAAAGCAATTGGTCCACCAAAGATACAAGGTCTCATTCAATTATTTGGGCAAATCCTTCTTCTGACATGAGCATAAATATCAAGTGCCCTGCCGACTCGTATGAACCTTTTTGTACACCTAAATGTTGTGGTGGCTGTTGTCTCCGCCGTGCGAACGTACTCCGCGAAGATGGAAAGATGGAATAGTCATAACACTGACGTGAAGAAGCAAGCCAATCGATCGCTAATGTGAAAGAAGCGAATTAATCGGCTTTTAGCAAAGCGGTTTGCGATGAATAAGAAAATTGTGAGCTAATTCGTTGGATTAGACTTTGTTTAACTATGTCTTCTGGTGTTCTGCAATTTCACCAAGCATCAATCTCCAGATGAATCCCACTGCTTTACTACATTGGCGGTTTAGTAGGGAAAGAACCCTCTGAGTTTTTGCTGTAATTTGCTTGTAATTCAAGACATTGATTTCGAATTAGTATAAGTGCCAACATGCCGAATTTTAGGCAAATTAGAAGCCAATGAACTAACTTGGATATAAGATTTCGAGAGTACGCCGATACGATCTCTTTTTGGAAGCCTGCATAATTAGATATCGGAAATTCAAATGTAGTGTACATTCTACTTAAGAGAAGTATTTGGTATGTAAGAAGTCATTAAGTCATTTACCTAAAAAGACTGGCGTATTTGTTGCCACTATCGTTCGGTTTCTGTAGTCAGCCTCCGGCAAAAAAGAATGAAATTCAATTGGAAGCGAGAGAGATTTGCTACCTCCGACGAATCGCCGTTTGTTGCTCCCTTTCTTTTGCGACATTCCTTCTATTGCCAAATTCTCTAAACATGCATAAGCTTGTGCTTTGCAAAATAAACATATTCCACCAAATAAATACACACTTTTGTCCGTTAAGTTTGACGTAGTAGGCGTACGATAGGCGGGGTAAATACATGCCAATCCATCAAACAATTTCTCTCTTTTAGGGTTTCCTCTCTTCTTCTAAAGCCGCCATCTAACCCTCTTTTGTAGCGGCATCCCTCTCCATCTCCCTCTCCCTATCTCTCTATCTCCTCATCTTCAAGACTTCTTCATTGATTTCGCGGACAACGCAATCAACATTCTCCACAAAAGTGGAGAGTTTTGTTCTGTCAACTCAAAAGTTCAAAGCACGAACGTCTCGAAAGAATCTGCTCGCTCGCTCTGGCTCCAGTGCTTGCTATATATAGTCGAGCACTCCGCAAGTCTCCGAGACTTCTCTGCTGCTCTGCTTTCAGCATTTGGCTTATCTGAAAGTGATTTTGCGATCAATTAATATCTCTTTTGCAGGTCTCCTCTCCCGATCTAGAAATAGATCTAATTTGGATGCTCTTCTATTCTGATTTAGATATAGATCTGAGATTTACAAAGCGTATTCTCTACTCATTCAACTTGGTGGTGGTGTTGTGGTCTTTTTACAATTGTGCTAGAAATGTCGAACCTAGACGCGCCTTTTGGCAAAGCCATAGCTACTAAAGAAGAAAATCTTGGCATGTGATTCGGTCATTAGCTACCGGTTGTACTTTGATACTATGACAGACCTATCTTTGTGTAATGAGTGAATCTCTGCAAACCGTAACAATTTGATTTATTTTTCAGATTTACTTGTTTTGTGAAATTTGCATTTCATCTTGAAGTTAGGTACCTTTCTTTCATGTGAAAAGAAACTTTTCCTTCGAACCACCAAAAGAAAAAAGAAGTGCAATAGGCATGCCGAAAAGGTCGAATATCGCCTGTCTCGCAACTGAAAAACGACGTCTTTCTTTAGTCTTCTAAATCAATGACTCGTCTCTCTCAGTGAGAAAAGAGAAGAAGAAACGAGACCCCGAAATTGCAAGGGGTTGGATTCTTGAATCGAGCTTTTTTACCCATGTCAAAACCAAGTTCTTTCGAGTCGCCCATTTCAAAATTGAAATTTAAGTTCATCTGATCATTTCAGAAATGAAAAAGGAAACTTCTAACTAATATGTCGGATTAACCACGGTCAATAAAAAGAGGTTACGATGTGTGACCAAGTGAACGCATTTGCAGAAGAAGAGTTGGTACATGGTCGGTACATAGAAGATCTTCCCTCCTGTCTATAGTAAAAACATGAGTAAGAGACCAAATGACCCTATATCTTAGCCAAAACAATCGCAACCAATTTCTTCATTTTGATCATGAGACATTGTAATGTACCAGTACTAGTGCCAGGTTTACATTCTTTCGGAACAACTTAAAACAGGGAGATAGCATAAATTAACTGCGGCGCGCCTAAGTTCAACACTGAAAAAATTGGCTCTGGAATTTTCTAAGTTTGAGCTGTCCTACAATGTACAAGAGAGTCAATTACAGGGTCCATGTTTCGGCCGAAAACAAACAGACAAGGGTCTACAGAAAACATTGAAGGGAAAAAAAGAAAGAAAAGAAACTATGGCCACAAAGTTACAAGTCAGTGTGCGTTGTCGGATATCCAACCAGAGACCACGCTGTCGTCCACAGTTTTCGGACCCCCGCATGATCTTGCGACGGATTCGAAAAGCTTCTCAATCTCGGGGGCACAGCGGATGAAGGATCGGTTCCAAAAGTTGTATCGCGGATTCTGCAAATCGTGAATCCAACATTTTATCGAAAGCATGTAAATGGCATCTCACTTCCAGCAAAACATTTCAGAAGCACAGTTTACCTTGATGAGTTCAATAAAGGTTATAAGAAGACCCCAAGGATGAGGGCGGTTCACAATTAGGCGTTCGAACAAGACTCTCGTAATCTGCTCTTGGACAATCTCCTGCTACAAGGCACCAGTTATATCAAATGACCCCAACGGAGCATATGAAGATTTGGATAATAGAGAACGGCACCACAAAAAATGATGGTAATAAAACAAATAGTTTTGACTATATGAGCCAACACCAATGAGAACCACATGGAAATTAAGTCTTGAGCAGTACAACACTACCAACACTCATTAATGTTTTATACAGACAAAGGCGGAAGCATTGAAAGCTGAAAGGTAAAGGCCAGCATAGAAATTACAGCACCTATGATATTGGTTGTGAGAAGCCATAAATGGTGAAATGTCATAATTCTACCTTAAAATGGTATAAGATCTCACACCGATTATATAGACCTATTTTGACAATGAAAATTTACAAAGTTCGAAACACAGCTTACAAAAGTGAAATTCAAGATTGTGGCTAAAATCACAACAGAGACAAAACTATCAAAGTATAGCAACTCAAACAAATTACAAGCCTTCGACCCCAAAAAGATGGCTATTAACTATATGCCAACTAAGCATCTTCTTATCATTGTGATTCTTGGCATTCTTAAGAACAATGTGTCAGTCCAAAATAACCAAACAAGATGAAGCTATGCACTCCTCTTGCTCGGGAATAACTCTTGGAAACATTAAATATATTCTACCAACTACAATGACATTTTAACACACGTAACACCACCCACAGTAAGGAAACCAGTAATGGTGCAATTACCTGATTCGCTTCTGCAAATAAGTAGAGGAGGACAAAAGAGAAATAGTGTGTATGCGTATTTGGGTAACGCAGTTGATTAGCAATTGCATTCAAAAAGAGATAGCGTCCTTCAGTATCCAACTCCAGTATCAGGGTCTGGAAAATATCCAGTGCCGCACTGATCAGGAAAACAGCCAGTGAAGCAGGATTTACTGGTGTTTGTGCATGAGCAGTCCTCGACTGTAGCTGCTGAATGGCCTGAAATATAGATATAGAAGTAAACAGCCATATGTCATATAGAGCAATTGAGAGAGAGCGCTTCTCAAAGAATCTAATATTCGAGGTACATAACTTCATACTTCAGATAGAGAAAGAAAATTGGACAAATTCAATTGGGAGCTTGATGCAAACATTAAAAAAATAAAACGGACATTATTTTATCCCAAAAGACTTTATTTTTCTACCAAAATCTTTCTGCATAATAGGGCAAACAAATAAATGATGTTTCATTCCTAAAAAATAGTAATGTCCTCGCCTTAACACCATTATGTTCGCCCTCCCATGTTTAAGACACAAGACATAAATGGAATAAACAACTTGCCATTTCTATATAAAAAAAAAAAGAGTAAATTTCACCCAAGATAACGAAGAAGAGAAGAATTCAAAGTCAACTACTAAAATAGAATCATTAGAAACAAGGCTGGCTTTAGTATATGGAGGAAGATAAATTCTTCAGCCGCAATTCCATTTGAAACGAAAACAAGCGGAGGAAAAACTTATGGCAGAACCTTAGAAACTAGAACGAAAAAGGAAATGTGGGTATTCTATTCCCATTTTCTTAGATAGAAACCAAATTGATTTTGGTAGTTTCCAGGGTTTTCCTCTTGACCAAACAGAGGACCAGAATAGGAGAAAGAAAAAGGCCTCAACTCAGCTCAATCTACTGCATATTCAATCTCCCAATTCTCGGTTTGCATCTCTCTCTAGTCTCAAGCTTCACCAAACACCAGACTCCAACAGCTAAACATCAATGACATTTGGAACTGCATCTTCTTATTCTATAATCCAAAAGCTTTGTGGTTTTTTTTTTCCCTTTGGAACAATTCTTTTACAACTTCCAAGGAAGTTTCCTTCGAACTACCGAACTGTAATCGAATAATAAGAAAAGGAAAAAGCTACCAAAATTTAGGAAGGGAACACTAGAAAATAACATAATTATAACAAGTGTCTGTCACTAAAATTAGCATAAATTAGCGCGTCAATAAATCACTTGCATCTATAAGGGCGATTAATTTAACAAGTCTCACAAACTTTATTTAGACAGCAAAGTAACTTGTATGATTAACTCTACTACCAAAATTACATGTTACGTAGAGTGGTTAGTCTTACTTGTGTAACTTATTATAGTCGGTAAAATACTCTATACATTTAGTGTTTTCGTCAATAATTATGAGTTGATAGCCAATATATTTAAAAAATATGAGCTAGTATAAGAAGGTTGAAGTTTGACATGAAATTAAATAAATGTGATGTGAACTGGTACCGAACAAATTCTCACAATTTATATTCCTCTGGAAAATTCTCACTTTCACGAAGGAAGCATGTTATACAAGAAAGAGATAGCTCAGTACAACAGCTTCGTCTAGAGATTGTTAGGGTGTCTCGAGAAACCAATAGGCACCCAAAATCCCCAAATAACAGGAAATCCACTCAATACCAAAGGAAATTACCTGCATCCCGACATAAAGAACAAGAGAATTTATCAGCGGCACATCATATCTGGTGCCAGAAACTGAGGCTTCACTTGGCGGAAGCAGTAATCTCTGCTTCAGTTCAGTCAAAAATGGTGATCCTTGTGGCCTTGTCTGCTTAAAGTAAACAACAGGATGACAAGATATGTCATATGGGAGAAGGTACTCAAAAAGTTAAAAAAGTATAGTCCATGTGAAATTTCCAATTTTCGTACTGTATGCTACGGAACAACTCTAGAAAGAAAACCTCCAAATCCTACTCTAGTAGGCAGGCCAGTGTGGAAGAGAAGATCGTGCATGTATACCTTAAGATACTCATCAATATCAGCCTTCATCTGCTTTGCTTTTACAGCAGCATCAACTTCAGAAAGGATGCGAGGTGGTTGAGTGATCTCCGCAAGCAAATCAATCTACGAATGCAGAAAAGATCTTAGTTTTAATATCCATAACCTACGAGAAGAAATCATAAGGAATATCAACAATAGACACCTTTAAGTTAGGAGTAGATGGATCAGGAAGCCTCATATTGCGAGGAAATGCACTAAGGATGATATTTCGCATTTGGATGCAGCTAGGAGGAATCACATCACAAAATGTAAAATGATAATCACAAAGGAACTCTGGAAAATCATGAAGCAGCACAAGCAGCACTCTAAGTGTTCCCTTATACAGAAAATGAACCTGTGCATGTAAAGGGGAACGAGAATATTAGAACTGTTAATTGCCCATCAAGCAGGTTATATCTGAGTACCATAAAGATGACAAATTAAAAATGATAAAGAAAGATTTAGCCCACCGGCAAACCAAGTTCAGCATTTCTCAAGAATGGCTCCATGTACTGAAACAAGTCAACCAGCAGGCGCTGGAAGTAAGGCCAACCTTTCTGAGAGTTCCCAGAGAGAATCTTCGGCATGAAACTCCTGTGACTAACCAGCTCAAGCCATGCAAAGCTGCAAAGAGCATGCCACCATAGTAAATGATCCACATGGAAGTTATTCGGCAAACAATGATCCGCATGAAAGTAATTTGGCAAATATTAAAAGAAACTCCACAGCTCAAAAATCTCTGACACAAATGGGTAAATAAGGACTCTTGATTCTTGGCACCAAAGACCATGAGCAAGTTAAATGTTCTTTAACATGCCAATCCTTTTTGTTAAAGTACTGCTGGTATTTGCAACTCAGCTGGCTACTAAACAACAACTTGCAGTCATGGAATCAGTTGGTAGTACAGGAACAGTACCCCATGGGCACCATGTTTTTTCAGCTTCAATTAGTAGGTTTCTTGACCTGCACATAAGTGCGACCCAATGCAAGAAACTTTTTGAATCACATCAATGCACGAAGCAAAAGTTCTGGGTCAGTGCAAAACCACCTAACCATTGAAATAATCACTCATTTCAAAAACCAAAAGCCCAAACGATACCATTTGAACGTCAAAACTTGCAACATATTCCACAATACACAACGGTGTTATGAAACAAAATCACTAGTTTTCTCCCCAACTAACCTGCTAAATACCCTTATACTTAATGAGAGAACACTATTCACTTCGCGCCCAACTAAGTTATTTATTCAATGGACCTAATTGCCTGAAAGAATCATTTAATGTGTGTTCAAAGATACTTTGATGAAATTCTATAGAAAGCAACAATTGATGGTCTAGACGCAATCAAGCAAAAAAACAGATGCACAATGATTTCCCCATTTTCAAGCTTTGGAAGTGGTATCATTCTAACCTGAATGCTGGAACTTTCAGAGGCTGCAAAGCATGGAATGCATTCGCAAATGCTGTCAAAATCTGCATCATCCACAAAATGTTAAGTCAATTAGGTGGGAGCATAATCTGTCAAACAATACCCATTAACAGGAGTACCTGAAAATGTGCACTATCAATAGCTGGATCTTGGGAATTGAAGTCCAACAGCCAATTGATAAACAATCTGAAATACGGTCTCGGATTAAAAGAAGCTTTCTTCTCCTCCGCATCTTTTTGGATATATCTAACAGTAACAACCAGTATCTACAACAAAGCAAATCTTTTTATCATTTTAGCAAAAGGGGAGAAAAGGAGAATTCAAATCTAGTACATAATTTTAAACTGCAGCTACATATATAATAATGTCTCACCCGCGAAAAAAGTGCATGCTTGCTGGATCCTTGGTCCACAGGACAATACTTCCGAACAAATACAGGAAGAAATTAAAGAAAAAATTACAATCGGTCAACCAAAACAAGAAATGGAAATACCATGACCATATAGAGCTTTAATTACCTTAACCGCTGAAAAGACGAGTTTTGCATATGTGTCGATTGCAAGGAATGAAAGATTCTGTACTTGCTGAGGTGACTGTGTAGTGCTTGAATTGATCACTTCAGAAGAAACGCAATGAGAAACAGCAATATGCTGACATTAGGAAATAAAAGCCAATGGTAAGAAAAGGATTGCAACTCGATTATCAATCCAAATGTTTATGTAGTTTCAAAATTGTCACCGTTAGAGCACGGAAAAACCGATCTGTCATGTCATCAACTTTAAGAAGTCCACTTTGATGCAACTGTAAGATGTAATGTGAACAAGCAGCATCATTTGAACCAGGAAGTTCACATATCCTGTACCATTCTCCAAAACGCAAGGATGCCTGCAGAACATTCAGCAAGTTTGTCAGAAATTGTCAGTGCTTGTGCAAATTAATGAATGAAAGGTGTATGCTCAGCGAATGTCAAGCATTATCGACTCCAAATAAATACAGAACACTTGAAGCCGGATTTTCCAGACACACCTAACAGTGCTCGACCCAGTCAGATAATGATGTCTCCTTATCCAGGTACTAAAAATAAATACAGAAAGCTACAAAGAAAGCTGCTGCCTGCTTCCAATACCTTGAGTAAGGTTACATAATGACACAAGTTGCCTCCCTATCTGATGACCTTTCTAACAGTGTATTTTCATTAGCTATGACTTCGTATGAAACAGTAATTCAAACCTAGACCTCTGTTCTTACTCCCGCTCTGTGCAACATGTAATTGGCGGGTGCACAATGATCTGTTTACCTGCTCACCAAAGCCAGCAGGATCGGGCTCCACAACATCAATATTGTTGTAGTCATCTCTACCAATGGCGGTAGGTCCAGGAACCTATTTCACCATAAAGAATGAGATAAAAGAATACAAGAGATCACAACAAGCAAAGATCTTATAATGGCAATTCCACCAACCTTCTTGTCCTTTACTTGCTTGGTCTTATCCTCCTTTCCAATAGTGAGACTCGCAAAGGCATTCGCATTAGCACCAGGATTCTTCAAAACCTCAACCAGCGGCTGTAATGACTCAGGCATGCCAGGCTTTGTCGCAAGCTACAAAATGAGATTCATCAAACAACAGGAAACATAAGACAGAAATAACTCACAAAGAAAGTGGAACAAACCTTTGCCAATGCTTCAACAAGACTATGGAGCTCAGAAACAACACTAGATTCTTCAATTGCTAGAGTTTGCAGAAGAGAAACAGCAAACTCTGTAGCCGCCTCTGCAGATTTAACCATGGGCTAGTCAGTTGAAAATGCTACAGGATAGATCCCAAAATTAAATGAATCTTTGTGCTACGTACTATTCCTGCCCCCATCTATCAGCTTTGCCATATGAACATTGTACTCAGCGAGGTTTAGCAATTCACTGTGGATCAGTCCCATAATGATATCTTTATTGAACTTCCGCTCCTCATCCGAGTATATTACCTATAACAAGACAACAATCAAGTAATTACCCTCAGCTTGAAGGTAGGGATTCCCAAACCATGCCATCATTAGACTAAATCTAAGAAGAATGCAAGGAGTAAAGATATAGAGAGAAGAAAGACATAATAAATGATAGACACATTATCTATGAAAAACCAATATGCGAAAGGCTAAGCCAAAAAACCAAAAAAAAATCTCATCATCATACATCATAAAAAAATTTTTTTTTTTTTGGACAACTTCATAACAAAAGTTGAATTGCATTAAATCCAAGTTAGAAAAGAGATCATAGTCCTGGCCAATGTCTATGTCAAAGTTAATACTACACCCAAGCTAGTTTCCAATGCCAACTACTCCATAGTGTTACATAATAAAAAAATCGATCACAAGAAGATACAAAAGTGACAAATACACTTTAACAATATTTAAATGATCGACAAAGGGGGAGTTTGATGCCAGTGCAATCCTCCACAGGAAATGCAAGAAAAGTATGAAGCTCCACCAGTGATATTGAATGGAACAATACATGCATCCCAAAGAACCAAAAGTCTAGAGATTACAGCCTGCATATCGCATGCCTTATTCATGGACAAAAGAAATTCTACTCAGCATTAAGTTGCACTACACATGGTAAGAAAGCAGAAGGAATATATAAGAAAAAGAGAGAGCACAAGAATCACATCATAGAAGCATTTCCATGCTTGTATGACAATAAGGAAAACAATGTTGCACATTCAAAGTATTCCAAACTGCTAAAACTACAAAAATTAACAAAAACAAAATACGGATTCATACCCAGCTTGTAACCTCCTTAACCACCAGCTTACAAACATCTCTGATGGCAGCCAGAATTGCAAGATGAGCACTGGCATGAAAGTTATTTGATGGGTTTTCATACAAACCCTTGAAAACCTGCGTAGTATCCAGCATGAGACAATGACCAAGATAGGAAGCAAAAGAAAGTTCAAAGGTGATTCTGCGTATCAGAATGCTCATTATAGAACATAGGAAACCTTTTGAGCTACTGCCAAAGCAGCCTCATCTCGACCTCTGCAGCGTAGTATGATCTCAGGAACCTCAGCAATTATTCTCTAAAACAAATCACAATAGCATCCGTGATTATTTCCTCTATCAAATATATGTCCACGAGACTAGTGCACAAATATTTCAATTGAATAAATGTAGAAAAACACACCATGAAGAGGAGCCACTTCAAAAATACAGTGAACACTACTTAAAACAATAATAGAAACTACATCTAACATACTGAGTAGCAGAGACACATCAGAGGGAAGTGCAAGACATATACTGAATAAACTCAGACCACAGATTCCATGGAAGAAGAGGAAACAATAGCTTTGAACATAACTCATGGCACACCACAAGAGTTCCACAAAAATAAGGAAAAATATGGGACAAACAAAAGAATACATTGAACACAAGGAGACACTAGAAGAATAATACCTGAACTTCTACATCTCTAGCGTCATTAGTCATCAAATCTTCCAACTGGAATTAAAACAGACAATTGTCAAAGAGCCACAACTATGATACACAAAAATATGAAAAACTTAAGAGAAGTTAGGAGCAAAAAATCTGTAGATAGTTCTTCAGGTATTAAGGTAAGTGATTGGGGTTTAAGGGCATCCTCATATACGAGAACCACTCCAATACCAACTAAATAGAAAGTCAAAACAAGCAACTAATTGACAGTTATAATATGCAGGAAAAGGAATACCACATCTCTCACTTCCCAACACAAAAACCATAACAGAAATTGTCTTATACGATGAAATCCATATTTTTCGACCCAGAGAGATACGCAATCCGTAACTTGAATAGTTGTAGCAAAGGAGACATTAAGAAATCCATTTGTATGCAATCCAAGACAGCAAGATTATATCCAGTCCATATGGATATAGTTTACATTGATTTTAGAGATGGTTGTCCCTGAGAAGCCAGTTTTAAAGGAAAATTCAGTGGATGGTTAAACTGCATTCAGTTTATTCTCCATCATCCATCCAGAAAAAACAGAGTTCCATGAAATTTATGACGCTCTTAATTAAACAGCTGAACGCTTCAAGAAAGTTCGTCAAGGGGGGGAAGCACAAACTACAGAATAGAATTATTCAGAACCTTCTGTGCAACAATTTGGTATTTGTCTAATGCATCCCTTGGCTGCAATGAAGGTTCTGATATACTATTTCCAATGCGCTCAGAGGGCACAGGTGAGGGCAAAGGCTGTGGAGGAGCAGTGTCCTGGCAAAGTTCAAGAAAGCACAGCTCAGCAACAAAACTTATCTATGTTATAAAAGTATCGACACAAAAGAAATAGTCTAACTTTCATAGCACTGGAGGTTTCCACCGAATTCAGCTCAGACACGGAAACAGACAAAGGCAGTGAAGCGGTAACTGCATTTTTGTCAGAACTCTGAGTAACCCCATCCACTGTGCCAATATGAGTTGAGGACACACTGAAATCACACAAAAAACAATTAGCCAGAAACCCTGAATCACAAACTTCAATATTAATGAAACCATGAATGGAAATCCTTCCCAAGAAAAAAGCATGAACCTGAGAAATGGAGCTGAATTAGCCTCTATTCCTTCAGAAGGAAGATCCAATTGACGAGAAACTGCTTCAGCTCCTGAGTTAACATAGGACGGAGCATAGCCAGATAGTTGTCCAGACACCAGATCATATGTAGTAGAAGGTAGAGAACCTCCAGATGCAGCTGAATGTCCTGAAGGCAGTGAATGTGAACTTTGATTCGAATGGTTTTGCCAGGGAAGCCTATCAAAGTCCTGAAATGAAACAGTTGCAAAAAGATGCTCAAAGAGGCATAATCCAACACGTAATCATGGCTCACTAAAACAACCCAACAGTTATACCTCATAAACCCGTTGTTGAGAAAGGGACAAATGACCGGGTTTGGGGCGAAGAGCCTCTGGGAGAATGCCCATTGAACCTTGAACAAATACAGTGGCTTCAAAATATGCTGGAGCAACACCCTCCCTATGTTTCTTTAGGTTAAGTTGTTGAGAGATTTCAGCATCGATGGTTTGAATTGCCTACAAGAAACACAGAACCCACATCCTAGTGACAATACAAAGGAGAGAACCAAAAGGCGCTTATCTCAAACATGTTATGACGCTATCCAAATGGGTTAAACATACACTATGTACTTCCAACTCCCCCATAATGGTATGGTTCATCTCAATCATACTGCCACTATTTAAATTTAGCTAAGCATCCGGTGCAAGAACCCTGCACATGGAAGTCCCAGAAATATCTTGACTAGAAAAAAGAACTGTTAAGTCTTTAAACCGTAATCGATCCTAATTCCGTCTGGAAAAATAAGTTCTAAGACATCCAATACCCCAATATGAATCAGGAGAGTATATCCCTCTATCGTCAATTCTGTAAGAGATGAATAACTTGCGCTGTCCTACTTCAATAGATGAATTTGCAAGCTCAAACGTTAATTATAACCTTTTATAAAAAACAGACGCTAGACGTAACTATATCACCACACCAAGGTAAAACATGTACTATTGAAAAGCAAGGAAATAAAAGTTATGGTTGCATAAAGAACTTCCCACTAAAGCTGCACAGAAAGAAACCTATTTGTTAACTTAGATTGTGCAAGCCACTCACACTTAAAGATGCAAAGAAAGCAAACACTCGTTAGTCCATTTATCTCATATCAACAAGATTAAAGCAAAAACAACATGAAAGCAGACACTCGAACCCATCATATACTTGTCCTAACAAGATCGGACATAAAGAAGCTGAATTCTAAACTTGATAGATCTTGCATAAGCTTCACACTTAAATTTAATAATGGATAGTCTATCTAAATTATGTGCACCACCGGTAAATATCGTGCCAATCATCTTATGCTCAGTTATTATCATTAAAAAAAAGAAAGCACATATGGAGGGGGAGAAAACGATAAGGTATAAGCTAATAAGAACTGGATTCCTAACCTTATCAGCTGCAGCCCGTTCAATGACTGCACAGCCAAGGTCAAGATTATCATTGGTAGCCAGTTGAACAGCCTGGTCAAGAAGTTCGGCAGATATATTCAAGCCCTGAAGCGAATTTTTTAGCTGATTTGATATTGAAGCACGCAAAGGTTCCTGCTGTCAAATGCCAGATCATAGAGGTTACACTTTGGAGGAGAAAGTATCCGGCTCTTATGAAAACCAAAAATGAGAACGAAGTCCATTTAAAGAACAGTACCTTGCATGTCACATGAGCTAGACTTCCAGCAAGGCTCGCAACCATTTTCCGCGCTGCTTTATAGATTCTTGTCTCATCTGACTCCAGAGCATAGTCCTATCATCCCATCCAATATGTGTGAACCACAATACGTTTACTCGACACAAAAAGAATTATTCCCAACCAGAAAATGACTGATTTGACAACATGGATGCAAACATATTCCCAGGCCCAGCATCCCGCCATAACTAGCGCATTTTCCATTCTATTCACTAATAAGTTAAAATTCGAAGGACTCCAAGGGATACCACCCATACGAAACAAAGGGCGACAATTATTTCTATGTGAATCTAAAACTCAGAAACTGCACTCATCAATTTTTCAGAAAATCAATCCTAGATTTCTAGTTTGTAAATGCCCAAAAGTTTCTCTCTCCACAATTATTGAACAAACTGAAGGTATAGGAGATAGAAACTGAATTGAGCACAAAATATGTAAAGCATCAGTTGTAGAGTAGCTCCGATTATGATGAAACGTAGCATGTGCAAATAGTAACGGCTTCAAAAAAATAATAGGTAAGGCAATCAGGTGAACAGGCAATACCACTTAAATGTATAGTAGTCAAACATAGAAGTGTTACATGTGATTGATGGTAAACAACTTCCTATAATGATCTAAAACAGATTAGACAAAATTAACGTAAAGTAGAGTGGGATTGAAGAGTGAGCCATGGTACTGGCCAAAATCAAAAGGGTAGAGCCATGGCAGGGATGTATTAAAAAGGAATTATTATCATCTCCACAAGAAAACTGTTTTGGCCGACTTTTAGCTGCTCTGGACTATTTTACCATTTCAAGAATACCCAAAATTATACAATTATAAAGGGGAAACAAGTAAACACATCCGACAGAGTACAAGTTCAACATTCAAGCAATAGGTTAGATTCTGCGTTTTGAAAATTAAAGCCTTAAAATAACACCTTTAAAACAAGTTCCTTTGTTGTTTGAGTTGCTATGGAAACGCTACGTTGCACAATCCCAGGTACTATCTCCTTGATAGCTCTGTCCATAGCTATTGGAACCACCCTGCAATATGTGCAAAATAATTTATTCAGCAATATTCAAAGACATACATTTGAAATATTATGTATTCATCTTTCCAGGAAGCTCATGCATGGATAACTGGGTGGATGAATGGGTGTTCATGTACGCAAGTCATGTGCCCGAGTATGCGTGCATGTGCAGGTGCATAAGATATATATATTCACAATTTTCTTAAAAACAGGCGGGGATGGAAGAAAGAGATACATGTAATACTAAATGTGTGAAGGAATTAGAACAGCAACATTACCTCTGGAAATGCAAATGCAAGCCAAGACCAGTTAGCTTTTGGTTGATTATAACATGAGTTCCAATGTTAAGAATTGGAGAAGGCAGCTGAAAACGACAGGAATCTGGACTTGTTAATAAACATAACACCAGTTATCATCCACAAAAGAAATAGCAAACATACACAGCCACCTGACTAACAGAGAATGAAGACTGGGACTGGGCAGCCTGCAAGAGTCCTTGGGCAGAGGGAAGTTGATCAGACAGACCCAAAGCTGCTAACTTTTCATCCTCAATCAGTGCACCAGATGATAGTTGAAGAGGAGCAGCAAACTGAAGATCCACATCATGTCAAATTACAACATATACGTACCATTTCATGCCCCAACAAGACAATAATACTATGGATACCTGAGACAGTAAGTGTGTATGGCTAGAATCAGACGGACTGGCAATCTTCAGAGGTAATTCTACTTGATTTATTGGTGATATTATTCCAGATTTAACATCAGCAAGGATTTGTGGTTGGGTTGCGGCAACATCTTTGTTTGAAAAATCAGGGTTTCCTTCAACTTCTCTTATATGATCCTTCAGAAGTGACGTAGGTGTCATGTCCTTCAAATCCACCCCAAGATTTTTGAACAGGACCTATGATCAAAAAGGCTACGTAATAAGAAATCTAGCATCTTATTTCAGGCTAGACAAAAAGGAAAAACAAGATTTTTCCAGTCTGACTTTGTCTAACATGGTTTTCCTGTACCTCAATATCAAATTTGAGGTTCATTTTCAAGTTGGGCATCAGATAAATTTCAGCTAGTAATCCAAGGATTCCCATGGTCCATGGATTAGGAGGTTGGTACGCTAGACTGTTTTGGCAGGGCTCAAGAATCTGCAGAAAGAGTAGAGTAAGTGATAAAAAGTCAAGGGCAGACGTAATATCCACTACTGGAGCAGATTTACAATCCTACCTTTGAAGTAAATGGGATAACTGCAATCATTTTACCCTTCTCATATGCCTGCAAAAAGTAAGTAATTAAATATATAAAAAAACACAAATCCTTGCATATCATAAACGGATACAGAAAGAGATGAACAAAAGACATTATTCAATTAAACCAAAGATTAAAGTGAAAAAAGAAAACAATGCATAAGACATTAAGAGCCAATGATGTTTATAATATATCATAAAGAAATTTCCCCGAAGTGCAAGCACCTCGATAATCAATGACTTTGGATCTATTTCGCGAGCCCTTAAAACTTGATTTCTGCCAATGGTTAATTTCCCGAGCCAGCTACCCAAGTTCTTCAGTAGTGAACGCTCTTCTGAACTTGATTTTATGAGCTCAGATCTTAGAAGGACCTAGAAAGTAAAAAAATCCTGTGTCATCCCACTTGTAGTATCCATCAAATGCAGAGCCAACCAAATTAGTGGCAACAAACCTTGCAGTTCTCATAAGTTGCTTGAACAATCTCTTTATTTAAGGCCTTTGAATTGACTTTGTCCAAAAACTTCAAGTAAAGGTCATGAAAATTTGGTTCAATGCTTGCTCTGCCAAGAAAATTAGCAAAAAGTCAGGCATGACTAATATAAGTGGAGGCAAACCCCTCATAATATCTCAGGATTACTACACATACAGATGTAACAGAAGAGACAAACAATATCGAATGACATAAATCCTTGAAAAAAAAGGATTTTCTTAATTTCAAAATAGGGTGTGGAGGCTGCAAGATGGTTAAGGCATGTCCGAGGAACGGAATAGAAGGAAGAATGCATCTAACTAGACTTCCTCAGTATAAGATAAGGTACGAAAATATACAGGTGCATCTAAAAAATGCTTAAAAGTACAAGCAGTTGTTTAAACTTCAAACCTTTTCATGACCATGTACTGCGCAAACCATGGGTAGAACTGCTCTTTAAAAATTTCAGTGAACTCTTTTGCTTTAGCTTCAATATTCGTCACTGAAAGGTTGTTGATAATAAATGATATCTTGTCTTGAACTTCTGATGCCGGAGCCTGCATACATAAAGTAAACAAAAAGAAACAGATTTAGGGGACAAATGATCCTAAACACTAAACGAAACTAATTGACTATGTACAAAAATGAGAACAAAGCAGTAATTCAAACACACAACCCAAGTAGAATCTGACAACCAGCACTCATATATCAAGTCATCAAGATATACAAGCCAGTGAGATCAATCAGAAGAAAATACAACATAAAACTAAACTGCTCACAACATATTTTGTACCAGAGGCATACAAGATATTATGACCGGCTGACAAGTAGGTGCCTTAATATAGGCAAGAGACAGCTCAATCAGGTTGAGATCGCAAACACATTTTCAAAACTAACCCGACTGACTGTTCTCTGGTAGTTCTCTGATACAGCACAGGGACCCAACAATTTTTATATACATATAAGAGATAATTCAAGGTGACAAACTAAATAGTTTGATGTACACCACAGTATATACCATTTGACAACCAAAATAATGTAACTTTAACTTCTAACACTAATCATAACGTTCCAACAGCATTTGTGGGACCACGTGTGCATGTCAAGGCCACACTCCAAAGCAATGGCCATATTACAAAGCGTCATGCTTTTCTACAAAAAATAAAGACTGTTAATAAAAGAATCTTCAATATAACACACAGTAGTGAGAGATTTTGCCATTGCCTCCAAACCTCATCTACTAACTGTCCAGACCATCAAAAACATATTGACTCAACAGATTACAAACTTTAAATTGCATTCCACACAGAAAGCATCAGGTTCAGTGAGATTACTTGGAAGACATAAAAAGACTATGAGAGGGGATTCATGTCCAGGAAAAAGGAACATAGAATGACGTCAAATCACGCGGCTTTCTGAGATTGAATAATCTCCCTCTCGTATGAATGAAAATTAGATGTTTTTACTATTGAGCATGCAATACTATGCTATCTTGACCACAAAAGCATTCCTAAGATTCCAGTCCTCAATATAATGATAAAGCAGTCTGGAAGATAGGGACGGGAAAAGTACCTCTATAGGAGTATCTCGTTTCTCAGCAGCAGCAATGAGTGTCTCAATGTTCAAAGCAGAGCCAAACCCTGCATCAAAATAAGTGACACGTTTAACATACTCATCAAGAGTTCAAATAAATCCCTCAAATAACAATGTGCATGGCCTTGTAGTTGATGGCAAGGGTGTAGAAAAGGTTATCATTCCCCTCATATATCTTTTCACACTTTTTCTGTATAAGCCAAGCTCAATGAGGAAGCACAAAATTTACTAGCCTATCAGAGAAGAGTTCGTATTTCATTTTAGAGAGATGGTTCATTGACTTTCTACCAGAGGGGCAAGCACAATGTGGTATGCTGAGTGTCCTTGACAGAACATCTGGACATTAGTTTCAATCTGTTAACAAAACAAGGGCCTACGCTCTATGAATTATTTTTAAGCGCTCAATATCAATAATCAACATCAATTTTGACTTCACGAGTATCACGATGTGATCCTCAGTGTGCATCTTGATCCGATGGATTATTTCCATGTCAATTCTTGAACAAAGCATTTGTACAAGTCCCTCAAGACATCAGACACGATAACACGTATGATTTATACAGTAGTAGGAACCTACGAGCAGAAGGAGGAGCCCTGGAAGGACGAACAAAACCAGGTGATGAAGACGATGGTACAGCAGTAATCCCTACATTCTGGGTCTGCAACTTACAAAAGGATTTCAGACTTAGATGTCGGAAATGGATATCAACGAAAGGAAAGGTAGAATGCAGCCATGGCCCAGTAGCAAGCATACCTTCTGGATATTGGAAGATTCACCTACTGTGCTAGCTGGAGGTTTCCCTGGCGCAGGCACCACAGCTTTCACCTCCATTACCGAAGATGCATGAGTCTTATGCCTATCGTCTAGGGATGCTTCCTGTCTCTGTTGAAGCTGGAATGGCAAAATAGGTTGCTGTCCGGCAAGAATGCCTGAAGTGCTATTCACCTGCATCATAAATTCAAGCCGTTGAGGACAAACTGGATAAGTCTGTGCAATAAAATTGTCAAATAATATTAAGTTCGTTAAACAAAAATGCAATTTGAGAAGGAAGACATGAGAAAAATAACTCCGCCACAAAATAGGTAAAGCCTGGACTATTTAGTCATGGTTAAGTTCAGACATTCGCAGCAACATGTTGATCACATGCAGAAGCAGCTTGAAGGGGCTCCAACAGACCAGTTCAGGATTTTATAGCTCATCACCAAACTCCATATGAAAGGGGAAAAAAGGAAAAAACATACTTTATGCTCTAACATAAGATGTCCTAACATAAAATTCAATGTGACCTTCTACTGGAATGTAATGGCTTGATTACAACAAAAGGGACATTATCCACATACTTTACAATAGAAGCATCAGCAATCTCACAAGTATGCGAATAATCCCGATTGCATATGTCTGTATTGGTTTTGTGACCACATGCTCACATTAAGGAATCACAGTTTGCAATAAGGATGATACAGCCAGGTGTATGCTTTTCACAGATGATAAAACAAAAGTAGGCAGAAACTTTAACAGGAATAAATGTGAAACATGCAACTAGAATGATGAAGGGAAATTTTGAATCCAATGGCTTTGGTCGAAGTCACTCAAATAAGCACTGTATGGAGAACAACTCCAGTAAAGGCGACGGTACCACCAGACAAAAGACCAAAGCGGTACATGCAACATATCCCTGAGGAAAATAATGAAAATGTTGATCATGCCATTAACTAGGGTGCTTGGAATATGAGGCTTATCATGCCACAGAGTCATCTCAAATCTGCTTCCAACACACAACCAAAACATTATTCCAATGAGAACCTCCCCCTCCAGTCTCAAAAACTTTAATTCTGATCCCAAAAGAAATTATGTCTTCAATGCATGCAACATGCCAAAAAACAAACATGGTTCTGACCTCCATATTTGCAGCGCCACCTTGAGGTGGACCATGATGAACACTAGCAGGAATGTTGCCTCCATCAGGATCTGAATGACTTGATGATATTCGCGCAAGAGTTCGCTCAATAAAAGCAACAAGATCTGAGTGAGTGTTCCGAAGATGAGATATTTGTAGAATATGATTGCAATACTGTGGCCATTCAATTAATCGATCCACAAACTGCTCCAATGCCTTGGTTCCAAATACAAACATCTGCATGCAGCCAGGCACATCAGCACAGATATAAATAAGTGGAACTATTTGTCTCAAATAGATAACACTAACCTTTGAATCTGGAGGCTTACGGAGCGCATCTAAAACACAGCGCAAGGCAATCCCAAGTGTCAGATGAGTTACAAGTTGGTGCTTGATGACAGAGCCTGGACAAGTTTTAGAATAGCATCGTAAGGAAACAGCTGAACAAGAAGAAAAGACCAGATTCTCAAATAAACTGAATGCAAAATCACCCAGACAACATACAAAAACTGTAAGGAAAGGTCAATTTACTTCTAGTGTGCAACCATTATTTTTCTAGATCGACATAACAACAACAGTACCTACTTTCTGGACTGTTTAGAATTATGGCAAATACCAGCATAATTCTCAGCCGCAACACAGAGGTGTAGACAGAGCAGGGCTAACAGACAAACACAAACAAATTATACAGTACATCTTACCAACATCTCCATTGAGAAACAAGGAGGATACCTCAGCAATTTCCAGTCCAAACATTTCTAAGAGTCCTTATAGCAGGTCATGTTATAATTAGTAAATTACACTTGCAATTATTTGGAGAACTTTTAGTTCGCTTAACAGTAGAATTTCCTAGTCCATATCTACTCAAATACCAAAACAGCAAAATATACCCGCATTTCACAAGAATATCAAAGGAAGGTTTCACCGATAGACCTTCTGCATTAGCAATATTTCCAAAGGCTTGCCTAATCTATCATGCTTTATTACAATTCTGCCAGTACTTTACCAGCTTCCAATTCTGCCCCCAAATATTAATTCCAATTCCAATTCTACCCCAGTAACCCCACTGTCAGTACTCGGTGTTATCGGGGCCATTCAGTGCTAATGAGACTGCTAAAGAGCATTCTCAAGGCCCCCGATGTGGCACTGACTGCTTCAAATGGCAAACATATCAGCTATATGACGCACACATGATCAAACAAAGTGCCATATCAGCATAAGAAACAGAGAAAGGTATGACTAAGAATCTCAGCAGTGGGTTCGTACCAGGAACCAAACCATATCCTCCCATTTATCGGATGAACTTGACAGAATTTATCCTCATATATTGTTCGATAATGTGGTTCAGAATGTCTCCTTTCCATAGTTCTTTTTAAGTTTAAAAGTAGCTTTTACATTTTATCTATAAAGTGAAATTCTGAAACCATGTGTATAGTTAGTGCCACGTTGTCGCCACTAGCATCTACCTGCCATACTAGCTAACAGTGTGATGACATTCACACAGACAACTCTTGAAGGGAGGATTAATGTCATTTCAATCGAAGGCTTCTAAGCAATTACGCAAGCCTCCAATATATTAGGAGAATACAACACCTATATACAAATCTATGCAACACAAGTGCTCCCATATGCACATTAAGCAATTCCTAAATGGTAGGAGATAGTCATCAAAGAAATGCTTGACACCAATGAATGGTACTATACAACATAGGTAAGCATCTCTAGTCCTAAAATGGATTGCCGATGGCACCTAACAATGATACCATATTCTTTTGTACCAAAGAAAATTTTATATATAGGGGATCCTTTCCACAAGAAAAGTAGACAGACAGAGGATCTACATAGACACAGATCTGTGGATCAATATATCTAGATTGAACGGAAAAAAGAAAAGAAAAGCAATAGAAAATGAACAGAATTATTTGATTGATATTTATTCAAACAAATAAAAAGAATGAAAAAAAACATAAATTATGTATGCTCACCTATCAACATAGCAACTAAAGAGTGCGTTTGATACAAAGCATTTGGAATGCTACTTTGGAATGCAAATGTCTTTGGGTGGAAGCCCTTTAGGAAAATGCAAATGGCGTTTGGTAAAAACTCATTTGCAAAGCTATTGACCCAAGTGGTGTTTGGTTAATTTTTTTTACAAATGGGCTTTGAGGGTTTTTTTAAAAAAGGCAAAAATACCCTTCGCCAGAGCTCCGGCGAGAAAAGCAATAGAAAATGAACGAATTATTTGATTGATATTTATTCAAACAAATAAAAAAGAATGAAAAAAAAAAACATAAATTATGTATGCTCCCCTATCAACATAGCAACTAAGAAGAATGGCTAGAGCAACAAACCTCCATCTCATTCATATACCATTTAAGAATGTAGAAGCTACTGAATTCAGGAAATTTTCTCCATGAAAGTAAGTTATCATAAGACGTAATGATAAATTAATTTTTTCTGTATTTACATAAATATGCGCTCAAATTTTACACTTTAATTACATAAGCAGGCCAACAGACGGCAAACATAAGTATGGCAAGCTAACTGCTGGGAGAATGCATCGTCTATTGATTAAGGGGAGTTATGCATGAGAGTTGGATAGAACAAGCTCAATCAAATAGTACGTATTATAGGTAAAAGAAAGAAATGACTAACATAATGGTGAACCAAAACAGATATCAGGCATTCAAAATGAGGAGCAGGAATGCATCATGGCTTCAAAGAGAACATATGAGACAGCAATCAACCATAATTGCCACAATGACACTCACCAAAGAGTACTGCAGCAATTTTAAGTTGCATTTCTGGATACTTGGGAAAGAACTTATATTCCTCGAATAGGTTGGCAATCATACACTCAAAAATAGACTGCTCCCTGCAGTTATCAAAGTAGCTCAAATCAATATTCGCAAAATTAATATGAAGCCAACATTTGAACATTATATGAAAAGTTTCAAAAGAGGCATGGCGTAATATTGTATCCCCCTCATTATCAACAACTCATAAAGCAACTACAGGACTTTGGCTGCTTTAATAAATACACTAAGAAACAATCAGCTTCATGCTTTTGCTTTCCTTGGATTCTTGCGCATGCATCAAAGTGATATACTCGATGTTGGTCTATCTAATGCTATTCAATCCTTAACAGCCCCATTACAAAAGAACTAAATGGAGAGCACATCATAAGCTTAGATACGCACTACAATATCAAATACGAAATAGCTTTTAGATTATTACAGGCTGTCATGATTGACAAGCTGTTCCTGACTTATATTCATTTGAAAGATATATTGGTCTTAACAGGAAACACATCATATTCTAATCGAACATTGTAAAAGTTTTACCCTCCGTTTGTTTGGGGGAAAACTCCATGATAAAGGAAAATGCTTTCCGGGAAATCATTTTGAGGAAAATGATTAGTTTTCCTTTGTTTGGTGATATGTGACCGAAAACTCATTTGAAAATGGTTAGTTCAAGTGTTTTCGCCTTTTTAGATTTAGGAATTATTTTTTTGGTCGTTAGATTTAGGAATTCACTTTCCTAATTTTATGCATGAATATTTTCGTTGACCAGAAAGTATTTTCAATTGACTAGTCATTTTCGGTGAACCAAACAGGTGAAAGTTCGCAAAACTAATTTCAGGAAAACACTATCACTCAAACAAACACACCCTTAGCCAGTGTCCAGTGAGATTCTTTTCTAGCCAGGATCCAATCCAATTAAGTCGTTACCCAACTTAGCAAGTCTAGGTCACGTAGGACATGTAATTTATCTTTTCTATCACCAACTTTCATACTTGACACGGTTGAAGAATAGCTGCATTCTTGATAGGCAAGATGGCGAGCGGTAAAATTAGCATCGTACACATTTGAATGATTTATGCTATTTCTTCCAAACTTGCTGCTTAAGTTTCATAAGTAACTAATTTGAGAAGACAAAGGTCCAACAGAAGTGGGAAATGATGATCAGACTCGATGACAGTGTACCTTTTCAAAGAAGATTCCTTGAACCGAGTCAGCATTTGAACCATGGCATCAATCATTAACTGGCCAGAAAACATTTGCTGGAAATATGAATTTGCTTCTGCCTCTATGTCCTCGGCATATTCCTCAGAGGATGCTGAATCTGCAGTCCCACCATTTTGAAGTCTCATAGTTGAGGTTGTAAGTGCTATACGCAATCTCTCCAATTCCTCTAAATGTTGGTGGGATGACATCGAGCTCGCATGAGCCACAAGCATCTGCAAAAACGATAGTAACATGATTGAATTCTACTCAGAAATAAATTTATACAAAATTAACTCAATGCCCAACATATAGCAACAGAACCTTGAAGAAGATAGGAATTGCATCCAGATAAAGATTCGAAAGTCCGCCAGAATGCAGAGAGCCCTTGGCAGTAATATCCACTGATTCACCAGATTCCAGAAGCTTCAGGAATTGAAGACACTCCTAGACAATTATATATGCATCTCAGTAGGAACAATAGCAGCTCTTCAGATTTAAAATTCGAAATAAGAAATCAATTATAGCATCTCAGCATCACTTTTTAGAACAATCACTACTTCACAGCCAGGGGAAACAAAATACTACCTCAAAGAAAATGTGCTTGTAAGTAGTCAGATTATTGCTCAACCAATTTTCAAGGTCTATGAGTTCCTTTCGTGAAGCAAGGGCAGCAAGTCTGATGCCAAAGGAAGAAGGAATCATCTCTAGAACTTGGGAAAGTATCTGGCATCATTAGCAAGCCACGTATCAGTGCAACAGAAAAAGGAACAAAATCAGACCAAAACAAGTTTCTATGTCAACATAAAAGAGATAAAGTAGGAAACAGAAAAGAATGAGCCCAATCAACTCAAAGACATCTACTATCTTTCCAACTATAAAGTTGGGATATATGGGACCATTATCATGTCAGTTAAAAAGAGGTCCACAATTTAATGCAAAACAAAGACAAGAAGTGTCGGGGTATCTGAGCAATATAATGCATAAAAAAATCCTAGAGGGTGGATCAGTAAAAACTTCCAGCTGTCTCTCACCTTAAGCTCTTCACAAATGTCCAGTATTCTAGTCATGCAGTCTGGATCAAGACCCGCAGCATCAACAAACCCCCTCAACACAAGAATCGGGTTAACATGCCAGAGGTAAAGGATCATGCCGACACCCCCGGCATTTTTCATTATCATGGGAAACACGGCAAGGGAGACTTCAGACTGCAGGAGATTATATACAGTCTACAAGCACAGGAATACATAGATTCAAATTCAGGATGATTATATCAAGGCAAACGATGAAAAGTGTCAATGCACTTCCAATTGCATACATTAATATGTGCCATTGCAAGAAGCAAGACTTCTGGACAGTATTTGAGAGGGTATTCAAGCATTGCGCGAACAGATCCAGCATAACCAGCCTCAGCAATTTGACACAACACATCTAAGAGGTCAAGGCACAACCAAGCATGATTTGCATGTCCAAGCTGGAGCTTATGACCATTTATCGCATCAACATAAGCCTACACAGAATTTTACCATATAATTAGAACCAAATAAACAATAAAGGGAAGGATTACAAGTTCTATAGCACATACCAGCTGCCTCCCAGAATGAGCAAAGGTAAATACTTCAGGAGGAGCTGACACAGCACATTTTAAGAATGATATCTGGCCCTCAATATTCTTCCAGACAGACCCACATATGGCCTTGAGAGGAAAAGGATCCTGCACAACCCAAGTTCAAGATTCCATAAACTTCAGCAGATAAGTTGCTAGGGCTCATAATAGAACTTCATGTTCAGGCAAAATAATTTCCAAAAACCAGACAAGACATGCAAACACACCTGACAAGCACATCGATAAACAGACATGAAGAAAGAAAATGCTTCCTCGTTAGGCAAGTAGAATCCTTCATGATCCAGGCTTTCAATTACTGATGCCCAATTGATTCCAGGCGCCTGTATTCAAAGAATTGCTTCTAAAAGTGTACTATACGCATACCATTAAAGCCAAAGATTGAATCAGAAATGTCAAACTCACAAGCTGCTTGATTGAATCTACGAGAATATCAATGTTCCAAGAGCTTGGAGAGGGAAGATCAGACCAACTGCTGTTGCCAAGTGCCACAGCAAAACTCGAAGCTGTGCTGTGATTATCTTCGAGACCAACATGAGTACGGGCAATAGTACCAATTATTCTAGAGAGAGTGACTTCGGTTAGTGGAGAAAACAGAGATAAGGTTTCTTTACACTGCAAGTCATTAACTGTGCATCCATAACCTAACTCCCTCATGACATCGCCCATGCCAATCTCCTTCTCCATTTCCGCCAAGATAGCATCAAAATCATCTTCTTTGCAATCATACAGTAGATCCAAGCTCCTGCAGCAGAAAAGTATTAAGAAGACAAAACATTTTAATTAAACAATATCAAGGCAATGAGTTGAGTATAACTGGCACCTCATTGTATTGACGTCACGCAATTCATCTGAAAGCAAAGGGGTTAAAATGAATGAGGCAACATCTTTAGGCTGCACCAGAGACAACATCTGCATGAAAGAATCTACATGCTTGCACAGGTCTTCTGAGCGCTGAAGGAACAGAATAATTCCCTGGATCTGCTCAGCAGCTTTCAAAGGAGCAGGATTTGCAGACAATTCTTCAATCTGAGCCATACAAAAGTTCTTCCCTGGGAATCATGTCGAATTGTGCTATTGTTCAGCAACAAAGCATTGCGTTAAAGAAAAACCAATAAAGACCACTCATTTAAGAACAAAACTTACCACACTTCCCAATTTCAACATTTTCAGAACTTGACAAAGCAAGACCAATGCTAATTTTTTCACACAGGGATAAGCATAATGTATCCGAAAGATTCTCCAGAAAAGCTTCACTCAGCACTCCACTTTTTAATGAGAGACAAAAGACCGTGCTAAAGTTTGGCTTCTCCAAGATGTACTTGAAAATTGACACTAAAGCAGCTTTAACATGCGAGTTCAACTCTGCCCAGTGAAGATTCAGGTAATCCAGGCAGGTTTGGAGCAGCAAAATGCTTCCTTCAACACCATAGCCAAGAAACTGCAGGGAGGACAAAAATGGTGTCAGAAAGAAATGATGCGTGCACAAGCCAACAAATAAGTGATGTTCCCCTGCCTGAAGTAGGATGAAGACTTAAAGACCATCATGGTGACAGCTCTTATCACCATCATAATTCAAGAATGGTTACATGAGATGATTTTGGCTCATTTGGCGAGAAAGAAACAGGAGAGCCTTTCAAGGAGAAGACTCCTCTTCGGACTCTTTTAGAGATGAGCGGTTATATACTCTTCACTTTGGGCATAGTGGAAAAGTTCAATATCATTTTTTTATAGGTAAAAAAATGAACTATAGGGCACCAGGAGTACAAACCCAAATACCAAAGAGCACAAAAACTACATCAATATACAAAAGAGCTCTCAAAAACAAAAGGGGGCTCAATTGCAGGACAGATCATGAACTATATCAACCAAGGCATTTACATCCATATGCAAGTTTCCACTCTACCAAAAGTGTAAAACCTTAAGCTAATTTCCAATTTAAACAGAAATGGAAGATTACTCTCCATCAAAAGCAATCTTGTTCCACTCCTTCCAAATCAACCAAAAAACAGAGAGGAATTAGGTAATTTTTCTTTTCTTGTTGCACTGACAGTGAATGCCCTGGCAAGCCCAAAGTTCTGTATTATAGAACCTCCAGTAACCAAAGATAATCTAGTGCAAGCATAGAAAGCAGTCCAAACCATACTTGTCCAAGAGCAATGAAGGAGAAGATGCCACACGGTATCAACTTCCTTTTTGTAGAGGAAACACCTACTAACCAGTACGTTGCCTCTGTGTTTTAGCTTATCTGAAGTAAAGATTCATTGCGAAATTGCTTCCCAAGCGAAAAAAAGAGAAGAAACTCTTGTCGGAACCCTCACTTTTCAAAGTGCTTTCCCACTCCAGTCTACCACTGACAAACTCCCTATGTGACAGCTTGTTGTAAGACTTTCAAATAGATTCCATCTCTTCCATTGGTCCACACCAAAACATCCTTAGAATTAGTAAAAATTGTAAAAAAACATTGAAAAAAATCAAGCAAAAGCTCCAAACTCCAATCTTGAGCTTGCCTCACGAAATTGATATCCCAAATGATCACACCATCATTTAAACGATAACAATCCGGTACGAAAGCCTCCTTGTTCCTAGTGATGGCAAACAGATTGGAACCAATATCCAAATGCCGCATCCCCACACCTAATGTCCAGCCAAAACTGTATCTGATTTCCGTTAACTACTTTAAATGAAGTAAGAAGAAGGAACTCACTCCAATCCTCCCTAATCCTCCTCCATACAACAGTGCCATGTGAAGCTCTCCTATCCTTAGTAATCCGACCTGCCTTTTTAAGGCCACATTTTGCAACCGCTACTTCCTGTTAAAGAGGTTAATTTTCGACACTAAACAGCCAAAGCCATTCACTGAGAGGAGCTTTCTTGAATAACAAGGGGGCTCAATGGCTAAACCACCCTTGCTTGTCTGCCTACTTTCCAATCTACCCAATGGAACTTGCAAGTCTCCTCAGTGGGAAAGTTCAATATCATGCTTATAGATTACTGGAAATGATAAAAATGGTCTTTGTTCCTAAATTTTACATATGGGAGACATCCCTTCAAAGTCGTTTGTAAAGGGTGGTACCCCCTAGGTAACTTCATTAATAGAATTTGTTCGACCTTCAAAAGAAAGAAGGGGGAACAAGAGGTTTAGTAGGCGTTTGATGTGATTTTTACCATGGCTTTCGGCTTCTTCTTTTACTTTTAGAGGAAGAATTTGGACTTTAAAAAAGTTTAACTTTTCCCTATCATTGAAGTCACCCCAAACCTTTTCAATTTTTTTAAAATTAAAAAATATGTCTGGTGGGAAATTCTCATGTAGCTTATTTGGTTAGCTTAAAGCCAAACCAAACAGCCTGTACTTTTTATCATCCTATGCTAAAGCAAATGGGACATTTTCTCTTTGACTACCTGGAATATGGCAACGTATTGAGATGTCTTTGGTTCTATGGAATATTCTTTAAAAGAACTACCCATGGAAAAAATGGATAAATTCTCATCTACTAAGAGAAAGAACTATTCCAACCACTAGTTATTGCTGAAAAAACACTCAATGTTATATGCTTACTGGGGCAACGTGTTCAACACATCACTGGAGATGCATGCAAGAATTCTTTTAGCATGTCAAACGGGTGCTATCTACTCTTTTTTTCTTGAGAATGTCATTACATGTTCAGAAGTTATAAGTAATAATAGATGGCTTCCGAGATACTCTAGATGCTGTCAGCTGGAGGCCATTGAGGCTGATTACAGGGACTTTATCCTGATCAAGCCCCCTAGGATACAGTTAAGACGTTCCGCTCCTATAAATGGTAAAAACTCTACTCCAGCTAATTCAGAATTGTTGAAAAATAGAGGCCCTACAATTTATTGGATAACATTAATTTGGCTTACTATGGTCAGGGTTAGGTTGTCCCAAGAACAGAAAGAGGTCATTGGATTACTAGGTTCAATCGTCTTGTTTAAATGTAAGATGAGATGTCGACAGGAAGATAGGACTAGCACCAAGACCTCTTGAATCTTGGTGAGTGAGAGCACCACTAAATCAAGCCTTCGTTTACTTCGGGTAATGAAAGTGATCTAAGGATACATAGACGGAAAACAAACTCAGCACGTCGTTTCGGATAGAGAACTTAGAAGGAATGTTACTACTGTATCTTAAGGCTGGGTAGATGCTAGATAAGAAGCCGAGCCTGGCAACCTCGGAACAAACACCGTCTTATGTTCTCTAAAATTCCCCCCCCCCCCCTCCCCCTCGTATTTTCCATTATGCTCTGGCAACCAGCACAGACACCAGAGTTGCCAATCAATCTTCGGCGTCACACAAACCAGTGAGCCATAAAACTATACATCATGCTCCCACGAGAACTCGGGGGACAAAAGCAAGCGTTTTTACGGAAAAAAAAAAGAAAAAGAAAAAGAACATCAGGGCGGCAATTCTATAAATCAATCCAACAAAAAGAAGTTAACCAAAATTTAATTGACAAGCCGCCCAACGCAAAGTTAGGGTTCTTCCATGAAAAATAACCCGACCCGACAGACACAAAAAGTTCTCAATACGTATCCTATCTCCGCCTCGAATAAGTAAACCCCCGCCTTCCCCGCCCCCCCCCCCCCCCCCCAAACTAAAACAGAAACCCGGCACCGGACCAGACCGACCCCGAAAAGCAGACAAGAATCAAACGAAATGTCCAACGCAAACTCACAGAACGAGCTGAACCTAAACCGCTCGAATCACCGGCAAAAACAACAGGGAGAAAAAACAGCGCAGGTGGCGGAGAAGCTAGGGTTCCCCGCCAACCCCCCCCCCCCCCCCCCCAATCAGCACAGACGCCAATGCCGCCACTCCCTAAATCGCGCGAGCATCGAGAGGCGGGGAAAGGGCTAATAAGCTTCCGCACAGGCAGAGAGACCAGGCTCGACAGCGACAGCGAGAGAGAGGGAGAGAGGGAGGGACCTGGTAGAGCTCGCGCAAGACGGGGTCGAGGTTGGATTCGTCGACGCTGCCGAGCAGGAAGCGAATCTGGTTCGAGACGATGTCCGAGAACTTGAGCATGGTGGCCGTCGATCCGCGCGGTCGCCTAGGGTTTCCGGGCGACGGGGACCGGAGACGGAGACGGAGAGAGATTTTGTGGGCGAGAGAGATTGTGGAGAAGACGAAGATGAGAGAGTGATAGAGAGAGACTCCGCTTGCGTCCGCCAGAGTGCAATATAGAGAGGGGGAGCCGTCAGTGGAGGGAACGGGCGGGTGACGGGCCCGGTCACTTTTGGGGCGGGCGAACGTCGACTCCGGCTCGGCCACGTGGCGTTATCCGTGTGTATTTACCAAACAAGCCCTGCTTCCAACCTCGAAGCCCTCCCGAAAGAAAATTTGGCAAGCAGCATCTTTTAGTGCTGCAAAGGGCTTGGCAAATGTATCCATCAATTGCAGTCATCGTTCATCTCTTGCGGAAAATTGGTAAATGGTAAAGGAGGGGCAGAATTGCAATCTCGGCTGAAATTCAGCTCGCCTTGTAAATTCGGAAAGAACGTGAGGGATAAGTCGTTTCAAAAGTCGAGGGGATGGTCCGGCAACGGTTATGTCTTTAAATGACTTGAAGATCGAATTCGATCTTCGATGTAACCCGGCACATGTTCGATGGCTATTTCACCGCTGGAAATTAAAGAAAGTAACCGGCACTTAATGAGATCAAACTTGTTCAACCGGTTATGCCAAACGATATATATCTCAATGAAAGAAGTACGGAATGAGTTAACTTCATTCATTGAGTAGAAGAGGTAATTGATGGTATTTGGAATCTTACCAATCATACCGGTAAAATCGCTAGTAATGATCGCAATTCCAATCCCAGTAAGAAATTTGTCAACACTTAAAATTCAACACTGGCGTTTATGACAACCTAATTAAAAAGTACCAAAAATGTCACAAGCCCATTATATCGGTACTAATTCAGTCGTATACCTTTCAATTTGACCAACTTAGTCTTAAGCCTTTTCATATTAGTATCAATTCAGTTCATCTGACCAATTAAGGTCAAAAATCGCTGACGTTGATGCCAACCGTACTTATCCCGCACGGCACAACTAGGATGTGGATATTTTTTAATAATTTTGTAATATTATTTTTTGAATTTTTTTTCTTCTTGTTTTTATTTCCCTTCTCTTTCTGCTAGTGGCCGATAAGGCCAACCCATGCGCTCGAGCGAGGGCAAGCGCCGCTAAGGACCACCTTGCCAAATTTGGCGAGGCTGACCCTTGCCCAAGCCAAGGCGGCCTCACCGGGTGTCGCATAGGTGAGGGTGAGGCCTGGCAATCCCCACCCGAGCGAGTGCGAGGCCGTGTGACGCTCGAAGTGGGAGGTGGTGGGATGTTATGAGGCTCCTTAGGTGTCTCTTCAGTTCCACACAGAACGAGCTCCAATCCGCGAGATTAGAGCTTTAGGAATTGGAACGACTTCAGATGGTGTTCATCACTAGAGCGATACAAACTAGAGATCGACTTCTACCTTGACTATGTTGTGAAGATACGCAACGACTTCGAATCTCGATTACTGTGAAAGTTGAGGGAGCCTCCCTTGGCCTCCCCTTTGCTTGAGTAAGGGTCGGCCTCACCAGATTTGGTGAAGGGCGCCTCGCCGATGCTTGCCCTCACCCTCACCCTCCGGCCATCAGCAGAAAGAGAAGAGAAAAAAAGGATAAAAAAATATTATAAAATTATTAAAAAAATCAATGTTAGCATCTACTGTACCATGTAAGACAATCGGTATCCACGTCAATGATTTCCGGCCTAAAATAATCGAATGGATTGAATTGGTATCGATGTGAAAAATATTTAAAATTAAATTGGTCTAATCGAAATGGTTATAACTAAATAGGTATCAATGTAATAGATTTATGATTTGTTGGGTACTTTTCGGCCCAATCAAGTGATGAAAATTCAAATTCCGGCACTTAATGAAATAAAGCTTGTTTGATAGTCTTAAACAGGAATTGACTCGAATGATTCAACAAAATAAAATATCAAGTTAATTTAGTAAATCAAATAAGTTCTCGACAACAACATATCAAGTAATTCGAAAATCAAATTGGCAAGACAAAACGATGTATAGCAACATTGGCGTATACTTGCCGGCACTCAAATTTTACTACCATATCGCATTTGAAAATTTTTAGTTATAGGTGGCTCTACGATGCTTGATCCAGTGATTTTTGAAGAACAACAATCAGAATTATAGTAATTATAGAGAAAATAATAACTATAAAAATTCTATTAGAATAATAATGTCCAAAGAAGCTAGCCGAAACTCTCTCCGGTGTGGGATTATTCATCAATCTTCGCTCTTTTGATAACGGTACGGGACATGTCCAAATTCTTTATTCTAACCAAAATTTACGAGAAAGTATTTTATATATAATTATTTATTAACTAAACATGCTGCAAATTCGAGAAAGAAACGTCTCTTTTAAATTGTAAAAGCACGTAGAATTCGAGAAGAAATTACTATTTCGATTCCTTATATCTTCCAATTCCTTCCATTTTACTTGTATTGTCTCATTTCAATTATCCCAACAAGACCTTAATAATTATCATCAATATCTTGCTGCCGGTCCAGGATAACCCTCTATTCCGTGGTTGCTAGGGTTAGGAGGACCGGCTTCATGCGAGAGCGTGAATCACCGTATTTGTACATACCAAGCACCGTAATTCTATCGAACGGGGCCAACAAACTCAATCACGTTGAGAACGCGCAAGTTCACGTCAATGGACAAGTCAGACGTGCCTCGTGAAGTCGTATTCGAGTTTTCTCTCTGTATGTAATGTCTCGCCCGATGGTGCAAACGAGGTCCGTCTAGCATCGGAAGAGAGCGAATGGAAGAGAGATCCAACTTGTATGTTAATTCTTACCATTAGATGTAAGCTACAGCAAGATCACCAAGCCCATCCAATAGGGCCCGCTACTTCTTCAAACACCTTGTAGGCCTTTCCACCAATCAAGCCCGCCAGCAGTTCGGGCCATAAATTAGTCCGTATAACCAAAGCACATTAATATTCTAGGAAAACTCATACCCACCCATTTAACTTATTTTAAGCTTTTCACGTGTATATGTTTTATGGATAAAAACTTCACATCATATTAAGCAATAAAAAATTAGTAAATAAAATAAATTGAAACATGTTTTAATTTTTGGATAATGCAATCAATCATGCTTCCAGTGAAACATATGCTTTATTTTTGGATAAATCCGACGTGAAAATTATAATTATGCGTAAAAATCGATAAAGAGAAAAAAAAGTCAAAAATGAAAAGTTACAATGGCATTTCTTTTTTTTCCTTAAAAAAAAAGGAAAAACCGAATAAACACAAAATGCTGTCCGTACACCGCCCCCTCTCTCTCTCTCATCTCTCTCTCCTCTGTATGCCTCTTGCTCTCTCTCTCCTGCCATGTAAATCTCCATCTTCAATCTTCTCCAGCTACTCACTCTCCTTTTTCTCTCTCTCTCTCTCTCTCTCTTCTTGTTCAAGGCAACAGTCAATGGCTCTCTCGGCGACGTCATTCCATTTCTAGATCCCGAAGCTTCTCTCTTCCTCACTCGAGTCCGGATCTTTCGCGTCGCTCTGGTCACCCCCGATCCAGAATCACGTCCTCACTCGGGTTGGGATCTTCGGCGGCCACTTCTACTCGCGGAAGCGTTGGAGCCCCACCGCGTCCTCGAGGAGGTTTCCACCGAGTCGAGCGGTCGTCGGCTCAGTCCGAGTCGACTCAGTCGTCGTCCTCCTTCTCGAATAGCGACATCGTTCGATTGGGGACGGAGTCTCGCGGCGGCGGCGAGTGCAACCAGGAGACGATCGGAGGCGGAGGGACGGAAGAAGCGGAGAGGGGGCGGCGAGACTCAAATGGCGAGAGAGAGGCGAGGAGCGGCGGTGCTGCTGCTTCGTTTGCAGAGGGGGAAAGAGAAGAAGAGAGTAGTTTGGGTTGAAAGTGGGTTTATTACTTAACCCACTAAAGCCCATATTTTTTGGCCTTTCTCTTTCTTTAGAACCCGTTCTGACCCGTATTATAAATTTAAACTGACCTATTCATCACCCATTTTCATAAATATAAATTAAAAGATGAATTTGTGACCCATTTTGATAGCCCTAATCAAGAGTCGAATCATCTCTGAAAATCGCATTTGCAATCAAACTCTCGAGCACATGATTAATCCTCATTAAATTGAAACTTTTTTGAGTAAGGTAGGTAATCTCGCAAATTATATAGTGTCAAATCCGATTTTAACCATTTACTTTTTCATGTCTTGTTTCGTTTCGATGACACATCATTATCTCAATCGATAATTCGAGATGATTCGATTCTAGTCGACCTCACCCGAGACCCGAGAACACCCCGCAATATTAGCCCCAACCCGGAACATGATAATATTCGACTGGCTTTCCTTTGGAAAAGCAAAGAAACCGAAGAAAAAGATAGAAAAAAGAAAAGAAAAGAGAGAACAATAGAAAGAAAAATAAAATATAGAAAAAAAAGGAAAAATAAAAAAGGACGAGCACATGATAATGCAGCGAGAGAGCAGAAATCGCTCGCTCCCCAAATCCTTCACATGGGGAACGGCGTGGAAGCGCGCGCCGTTCGAATCCACGTCATCCCGTAACTAACCGCGCCCGCCACGTCAGCAGGCCTCGAAGTCCCGCGGGTGACGATGGGCTTGCCCCCCTCCGCCGCCGCCGCCCTGGGGGTGGTGCTGCTGCGGCTGCGCCGCCTGCCGCGCCTCCTTCTGCCGCCGCAGCTCCATCACCTTCCGGTGCGAGTTCGAGTGCTGGGTCAGCACGAACGTCGGGCTCGCCGCCGGCCTGTACTCCGGCACAAGCCGCCCGGACTTGTACCGCACCCCGCACGCGTTGCACAGCGTCTTCGGCCCCAGCGGCCCCGTCCGCCACTGCGGCGTCTTCTCCGACGCGCAGTGCGCGCACCGCCTCCCGGCTCCCCCTCCCCCTCCTCCTCCTTCCCCAGCCTCCCCGGGCCCCGCGCCCTCGCCCGTGGGCGAGCGGATCCGGCCCGGAGCCGCCGCGGGGGCCCCGGGCGACCTCGAGCGCTTGCTCCGCGGCCTGCCGTCGGAGAACGCGGCGTCCGGGAGGAGGGAGGTCGGGGCCCCGGGGAACTCGCTAGCGGGGACGTCGGCGAACGAGTCGTCGACGAACCGCGAGAGCCACTCCAGCTCCGCCGCGTAGTCGCTCTGCACAGAGGAAAACCACCGTCAGCGATTGCTCCGAGCCGCAGCACAGAACAAGCCAAAAAAACCGTCTCCACCAGAGAGAAGCGGCCCCCAGCAAAACGCTCAGAAGTCCAAATGATCCGAACAGACGCTCAAAATGCGCGTCAATCTAGGCGAGATTCCGGCGAACTTGACCGGAACTACGAACGCGAAACAGAAGGTCGCGATTCCGATTTGCCTTTTCCCGAGCGAAATGAGGAAGCGGTAGCTTCTTCTTCCATTACGTCGGAACAAAGGCGACGGAATTCGCGACTCCCCAGACCGATCGCGAACTTCGAAAGATCGTCGAAAGAAAGAAAAAAAAAACGCTAAAATCCACGGCAGCAAAAGCGAACTTACGGGGACGCAGAGCTCGTGAGCGAAGTCGGTGCAGAAAGGAGGGAAGGCGGCGGTGGAGGAAGGCGGCGGGGGGGAGGAGGAGGAGGAGGCGGGGGAGGAGGAGTCGGCGCAGAGGCGGTGGTGGGCGGCGGAGGAGGAGGCGGGATGGTGGTGGGGGTGGTGGTGGTCCGGCGGTGGCGGCGGAGGAGGGGGGTGGAGGAGGAGGTGGTGGTCGTCGGAGAAGAGGTCGGCGTTGGAGAGGTCGAGGAGGTCGTCGATGGGGAAGGCGGCGGCGGCGTCGGGGGGCGCGGGGAGGCCGTACAGGTCCATCATGAAGGCGACGCTCCTTCGCAGGGTGGTGGAGGAGAAGCTTCGCGTGCTGCTGGAGTGATGGTACGGGAGTGAGGGCAAGGGGGAATGGGGGTGTGATATATGGGGAGGAAGGAGAGAGGGGGTGGGGACATGGGAACGTGCAAAGAGGATATATCGATGTGATTATGGAGTTTGGAATATTGCAGTTTTAATCCTCCAGTTTTCACTTTTTTTTTTGCGATTTCGTCCTTTGAGGTAACTATATATATATATATATGTGCGCATGTGTATGCGGACGATAAATACTGGTTATGGGCAAAAAAGAAAAAAAGCGAAAAGGAATGAAAATGAATCGCAACCGAAGGGTGAAACCTTAGTTGAGCCAAAAAAAAATAAAATTGAAAAAACATGGGATAATTTGCACAAATAGTCTCTAAACTTTGGCCCAATTTATGATATGGTCCCCGAACTTTTAATTTGGTCGGTATGGTTTCTAGACGTTTGGGAAAATGTTCGATATGGTCCCTAGGCTATAAAGGAACATATCCAATGTTATCTTTTCATTAATTCGAGTTGACGGAATCTGCTGATTTGGCTGCCGATACGGTGAGTTTGAACGGTGGATGTAAAGAATGACGTTACAAGTGGATTATCCAGGTAAGATGTTCGGCTCGAATCGGGACGCAATAATCAACGTCATCAAATAATATGGATAATCATTTTTTTCCCCGAATCGAACAAATTAAACGGATTAAATGGATTGTTATATTCTAATTTCAATTGAATATCTCGCGTGAATAATTCACGTGTAACGTTTATAGTGTCCGCCATTCGAACGTACCGGATTGGAAGCCAAATAAGCAAATTCCGTCGAGTTGAATTAATGAAATGATAATATTGAACATCTTTTTATATAATTCACAGGTTGAATTGAACATACACCAAAAGTTCATAAACTGCATCGAATAAACTAAAGGCTTAGCATATTGAGCTGAAGTTAAAAGATCATTCGTGTCAAATACACCTACGCCACGACGCTTTAAAATGTTTATCGGTATGATATATTGCGATCCGGGAGCCGTTTCTCGAGGGACCATAGAAGTGCTCCGCCGGAGCTGCCGAGAAAACCAAAGAAAAGGTGGCAAGGTTTTAATTGCTCCAAAGGTGCCGACGGAAACGGTGGTCGTCATATGAAAAATTTTACGTGGGCTTTAAGTTGACTAATGCAAGAAAGGCGGAGAGAATCGAGTCAAGGGTGATGGAAGCCTGCTGCATTTCACGAGGAATGCACCTTTTCTTCTTGCGGATTTGCAGTGACTCGCCGTCTTTTTATCTTTCAATTGTAATGTTTCGTCACCAAGGCGAGACGAGAGCGACTCCCATTGCCTCGTTCATTTAGCTTACAAATGCCGATTTTCGATCACCATAACCTCTTGGCGAAGCTAAATCTATTTAGGGTCGGTGCAGTCGGCGTCGATGCGAACAGACTGGGCGGGTTAGGACTAGAGGGAAGTTTTTGCACGGTCCCAACAGGCCGAGCCCCGCTTTTCTCGGCCCGAAATGTTCTCTTCCTCAAATTGTAGAGTCAAATATCAAAACTTGCGAGTACAATTGTCAAGTAACAAACAAAAATTTTGCTTAGAATTCGCAAATTTCGTCGACAGAAATGAAATCCAGGTAATTTTGACTTTGACATAGCATGACTTTTTATGAACCATATGAAAGTTTGATGGTTAATTTGTTAGTCATTATGACTTCATGGAGGTTTAGAAACATTAAATTACTAATTTTTAAATTTTATTTTTTATATACATAGGCCAAGCCAAGCCGGACTAAGCGGGGCGCGAGCATCTTAGGCTCGAAAACTCGGGCTGAATTTGCCAATGAAAAGTTGAAGACTTGCCCGGTCTTACTCGGGCCTGAAAATTGGGGCCGATTTAGTCCAGGTTGGTTCGGGTTTTCTAGCTCTTTTTTGTACCCCTAGCCGTTGGATAGGGTATTAGTGGTTACCAGCTCTAAAATTAGAGGTTATTCGCTCAAATCCAACAAATTACGTGCAAATTGCTTTGAGTTAGGATCACATGCGTAAGCGATAAGCATGGATATACCTAGTTTATAGGATTTCCAAGGAAATCATTAACTTTTGGGTAGTTGGATCTATATATTTGTCCTCCTGAGTTATTACAGCAATATAGTCCATGGCGAAACGGAGCGTCAAGCCGCGACTTATTTCCCTCGAGGGGCATGCCAAAGGGTACTCCCCGACGGGCTCCAAAGGAAGGATCCACCCATAAAATCGAAGTTTCTATTGTCCGATCCTCCCTTTGTTCCGGCATCATCTTTTCCAAAAGAAGCCTATGAGCCTTCTAGCATAAGTTTAGTCGAATTTATGTGTTTGCACATCTTGATTCGAAAGGACTTATGCAAATATCTTCCTTAAAAGTTAGGTCATGCATGGCATGTAACATAAGCATCGTTTTCAAAATATTTCGCTTTCAATCATGCTCCACTTATCTCTTAAACTTTCAATGGGGCACCCCCCTTCCCTGGTGCCTCTTTCAACATCATGTGGTCACTCCTCCTTGTTTTTTTTGTTTCTCTTTCTTTCGATGTTACACCCATTATCAAAATTTATCTAAAAAAATAGAGGGCGAAAAATCTCCTAAAACAGCTTGATTTCTTATCGTGACGGACTCCTATGTTTAAATTATTGTCCCGTATCTCTCGACAACGAGTCATAAATAATTTTCATATACTAGTGGTCTCCCTCCACCTATTAACTTAAATTTTTGGATTGGACTTTCTAGTATGGTACCAAAAGTGATGCTATCTTTATCATGTACGTGCGTTCACCCCCATCAGTCAAATTCCACGTGCCGCTACTAATCCGACTTACGTGCGATCCCCCTCTACCTAACATCCTAAGATAGCTATGAATGAGCCGATATATCATATGCATTCTATTAACGGGTGCGTTTCGAGGCACATATCAGGTGATCGATTAAGAAACTTTACAATTCTCGTTACGATGGTCGTCTCGCGCTGCTCATAAATAATATTTCGAAAGCGAAACTATTTCCTCGTGCGATGCTCGTGGTAAGAGTAAGGCTTTTTATTAGCTGGCGCAAGTTGCAGCGAAGTAGAAGAAAGCAATGAATGGCCAATACGATAGGGGGAAGGGGCACGACAAATGCAGAAGCAATAATAAAGCGAGCGCACATGTCAGGACCCGGAAGCATAAAGCGGGCCCGTGCGTACTGACCCGGTAGGAAGATTGCAAGATAGTACCCGCTTTTGTACTTCTTTTGTTCTTTTCGTCCCCTGTTTTCAAATATCCTGCCCCCACCTCATTTTTTTAAATTTTTAGCCATTAATTGGTGCTTTTTTTTTTTCTTCTTGATTATGAGTGAGGCTATCGAGTGTAATTAGAGTTAAGTATCCAAACTGTACCGACGAGAAAAAAATTCCGTCGTATCGGGATTTTAGTGACGAGTTGATATGACCTGCGAGTAATTATCACGTGCCGAAAGAAGCGTACTGAATAGAAGGGATGAGTGCATTGGAATTCTCGGAATTTGTCACGGGAGTACAGTTGGGTCTTGAAACTTGCAGAAAGTGCAATCGAGTCCTAAAACTTATCAAATTCATATAATTGAATATTTCCGTTAACTCCGTCCAACTTGGTTGGTAGAAAATACTGACGTGGCTTTTTTTTATAATTATTTTCTCTATCTTACGTGGCGATAATGTGGTTAACATGACGTTGTTATGGTCCAAATCTAATTTTTAATACAAATTTTATTTCGATCATATTAAAAAACAAGCTAAATAAAAAAAAGAAGGGTGAGAAACTAGGTGGCGAGGGCCGCTGCCGCGCCACCATCCCCGGGAAGGCCGATGAGGGTGGGGGATGGCCAGCGAGGTAGCTAGGCCCTGGCCAATGGCCGGAAAATCGAGGTTTGAGGTCATGGACTTAGGCAATCTCAAACCATAGATGATATATGATGGCCGATCTTAGATCGGCCATTGATTTGTGATTGCTTTGGCTAATCATATCGATTAAACTTGGAGGATCAAAGCTTAAGAAGTTGAATTGCTTGCCCAAACTCGCTTATTTACTAAAAACTAATCGAACCTTACTCGATGAATACGTCTAAGATCATTCTCCAGATTCACTCATAAGATGAGCAGGGCCTTCTCAAGCCTCATATTTGTTTAAGTATCCAGATGACTAAACCCACCTTCTAATGACTTAATCCCTTAGGATTGTTAGTAGCGGTTTTATACAATTTTACATGGTATCAGAGTAGCAAATCATGAATCTGAATCCTTCAAGACCCCAATTATACCTCCCTGTTCGCATACATATGCACTTCAATTTTAATCGAAATCTAGCCTAGGCATGAGTAGCGGGGGAGTGCTAAAGTATCTGAATAATAATTGTTAGAAAGTCCAATAAAAAAGTTTAACCTAATAAGCAAAAGAGGCCTCATGTGTATAAAGAAGATACAAATCTCTTTGTCTAGCGATGCGTGATATTTTTCAACACCCTCTCTTATGTGCAAGTCGAATTTAGAGTAGCATGTGAAATTTGACTTACAGAGTAGACACACACACGAAAAAGGGGCACAACCTGGCTCTGATACTATGTACAAAAATCCAACCCGAAAGTTTAAACTTAAAAATGAAGGGAGACCATTGTATATAAAGAACATATAATCCCTATTGTCAAGCGATATATGATAATTCAATTTAGCTAGCAATGCTCCTATAAATTTGCAGTAACGTGACATCTCCCTTATCTATCCTTAAAGATAGTCCTTGACTTGTGGACCGTCAGACAGAATTATATAAAGAGAGACCAATCTCTGGACGAGTTCTTAAACAAATAGCGTAGCCGACATGGCACATGACCTCTGTGGATGGGGAGCAACGGCCACCATTCATGAAGAGGGTCACTTCCCACAAAAGGATAAACAAAGGACATTGACTAAATTTCAGGCGGTGTTGATGGAAAACATTGCAATTTCACATGAAGTTACCAATTTTTTTTTTAGAGCAATCGGGTGATGTCTCGATTCAGTTTTTGCACATGAATTTTTACATTCGCTTCCTTGATTCGATCAAAGAATGTAGAGCAATCCATCGAGAGTCAATTCAATTGGGGTTCTTTTTTTTTTTTTTCCTTTCTGAAATTGTTGTTTCGACTTACAAGCAGCATAAGGCCATTCCATCTATCAAATAATTCAAAGCTCTTCTAGTCTTTTGCAGCAAATAAAAAGGTTCGACAACAAACGGAGATGTCGCAGCGTATTTGGAGTAATTTTGCTCCTGGGTAACGCCACTCGTGCCTAATTCTAATAAATTTGGAGTAATTTTGCTCTTATCTATTCTCACGTCTAATAGCAAATTGTGCAGCAATTTCGATTACACGTGAGACTTGTCAAAATGGATCGTAAACCCATTTCTTAACCCGTATTTGATTACACGCGGATTTGTCAAAATGGATCATAAACCCATTTCGATTGCAAATTTTGACAAATTACTTAAAAATACAAAGGAGATTGATGCTCATAATACCACCTAAAAAAAAAAGGAATCCCCCCCTTTCCAATTCTACCCTTATCTTGAACAAAATTATACTAAAATGTGAGTATAATTATTGGGCAGAATTCGGACCGACAGGGTGAAAATTGGAAGTGGGGGAGAGATAGAGAAATGGGTGTGTTGGAGAATATTATTGAAAGAATTGAGAAGATCGATGGAGGTTTCCTCGGGTGCATCGGTTGCGGCGGAGAGGCCTCGATCGGATCACGTGACTCCCCTTGACAGAGGAACTTTGGCGATCCCAAAGAGCCGCGCGCCCGGGCACGTGCGCCTGCACGTGCGCTGCCATGTGACCCCGCGTGCCCCCCCGCCGGATTAGATTTAAGCGCTAATCAGAGTTTCAGGCACGCAGGATGAAGCATAATCCGCGGCATCCGTCCGTCCTCGTCGAGAATTTTTATCAACGTTCCTTTTTTTCGATTTAGTAAGATAATATCCGTTTTATCCTTTTCTAATGAAACTAATTGATCGGAATCGTTGAGTGGCTTGTGCTTCACGCCTTGAAAAGTGGCGAGATCCCAGATTCAATCCCTGCTCGGGGCGACCGCTTGGGGATCGAGTCGAGAGAAAGCGATTCCTTACTGACCCTCTAGCCTTGCTCTCGATAGCGTGCCTTGATTGGATCAGAGAGGCGGTAGATTTAGTCTTGCTCTCGATAGCATGCCTTGATTGGACCGGAGAGGCGGTAGATTTAGTTTCGTGCGCGAAACCCGACTCGAGATACTATCCGTTCTCCATGAAGAAATAAAAAGAGAAAAAATCCCTTTTTGGCTCATATCTATGTAAATCGATTCTACTCAATCAGCCATTATGGCATGCACGTTCCATTTACCGTGTTTATGATCTCGGATATGGTGGTAAATGAGGGACACGTCACAAGTTAGCGTTAGAACCTTGCGTAGAAGTGTTGGTCATTCCAAATTGACGAGGAGAAATTCATCAAGGATGCAAGCAACCCACGAACTCTCCCACGCATAAATCTCAATCATTGATAAGAACCCCGCATCCATAAATCAGCGGTCGATGCTCATTGAAGAACCAAACGAATCACCGCGCTTGCTACAAGACTCACGTTCGATTTCTTTTTATTCTTACCATCCCACATTCGATCTCTATTCTCTATCTTAATGTATAGTCACTCTCAATCAAAGCATCGTTTTCAATGTACCGGGGGTTATCATGTATCGTCATCGATCGAGTCTAAGGTAGTAGAGGCAAGTAGTGTCAGTGCATCGAGTCTTTCACTATCTCCCGTTTTTCTATCTGTCTAGAAGCCGAGCATCGGTCTATTGCCAAGTCGAGTCGATCTCAATCACGCTCCTAAATAAAAAAAAATTGACCAGCTTGAGGGACCTACACGTACTCTCATTTTGAGGCACTAAGGTTGACCAGATCAATTAACAGAAATAATTAAGTGCGGAAATTTGTGAACAGGACGCACGTGCGAGGCATTTAATGGGCCGTGTCGGTGAGAATGGGCTGCGGGCCCACGATCACAGGGGGGAGATAGACAAAGTACAATTAATCTGACCTCACCAGCCGCGCACATGGCTGGCTCCTCCCCAAGCAGACAGCTCCATCAGGGCAAAACCACCGCCCCCCCGAACATTGCATCTTCCACGCAGTGGCACGTTCACGTCCAGGTTTCGAGTACCGGACCGGAGCGGACCGAACCGAACCGAACCGACCAGGCCAATTTTAAAAAAGGGTGTTTCTACTCGATTTCTCGACACCATTTGTCTAACCGGTTCATCCGGATATGGGATACCGAGGATTAAGTAGATCTCGAATGCGTACATGAGAATGATGTATTGTCCGCACCGGCCTTTTAAGAAGGTCGGAGGAGGATCCGCCGTGATGAATCCTGCTTGTTGAATGGTTTTGCTCGGACAGTTGGTCGAAAAGTTTAATCCTTTGGACATGACTGATACCGGGTGGGGGATTTATAAGGAAAATACCATACATGGGTGAACACATGAACGTGAAGGATCGAAAGAGCTTGCGGCTTCGATACTTTATATTGGATTGAGTTTGTTCGTATATGTATATCATCGGTCCGTCCTTGTCACCGTGAGAAAATATCTTACGCATTGAAGAGACCATGTTCACAGAAGTTTTTAGGTGCAGATGGAGGACCGTATCATCCATCCGCAATGCACGTGCGCGCATGAGCATCATCACATGCCTTTACGAACAAATCATTACTTGCCCAAAATTTTTTTTAAATTTTTTTTTAATTTTCACATTTTTTTATCTGTTTCGATATTATTTTAAGTAATAAATCGTAAAAAGTCGCGGATTACGTAAAAGCTTGATAATACTCTCACGATGGCAATTCCGAATATAAAATGGAGAAATATTTTATAATTGAAATCTATTTAATATGTAGGTATGTTAAATTTGTTAAGTCTATCGAATTGATCGTTGTTTACTCGATGCACTAACGAGAAAGTAATTATATGCATGTTTAAGACGCAAACCCTCTCCTTCTCAATGTCTAAAAGCTAGGTTCTTTAGTATGGAAAGAGCAAATTGTGGATGAAATCTTAGTGAATATGGTAAATTTGGTTGCCTAATTAAACGGAAAAATTGATTACATGGATAATAGAAATTACATGCTAGAAAAGTAAGAATTTTAGCGACCTATACGAAAAGTAATTTATATTTCTTCTTCATTTGGAATATTTGAATCTCAAAAAACAGAAAAGATTGCAATTGAAAGGAAACAGATCTTGTCGAGCATTACCGGCCTCGTTGCACATTAATATGTGAATTAATATCACAAAAAATCCAAAACTTGTACACTTGTAACATATTTATCAAAAACTAATTTTTTGATCATAAAAAAACCCAAATTGATATAACTGTGACAAATTTACCATATATTTGTTTTCATTAAATTTTACAGTTAAATTACTTTGTTAAATGACACGTAGCAGTCGACGGATGTACCATTTTTTTGTTTTATCCTCCATTTGTCACAAGTATACTCATTTGTGATTTTTTGAGATATTAATCCAATTTAACGGGAACTAACAGAGGGTGAATTTGTTACAAATTTATCAGTTTGGAGTTTTTGGTAGTTAAAAAATTAGATTGGGTGCATTTGTCATAAAGGTACCAATTTGAGATTTTTTGTGGTAAAAAATTAATTAGGGTTAAGTATACCAATTTGAAGTTTTTTGTGGCATTAAACCTTAATATTAACAATCTGATTTGAGGGCCCGGAAAGAAAGGGCCTCCTGGCCCAAAATCAGTCCGTCAAGAGCCGAGCTCTCTCCCAATCGCTTCTGTAATCAAAACTCTTCAATCGTTGAATCCTCTAATCAAATTATTTTTCACCCTAAAATTATAGAAACCAAAACAGTCAATTGGCTTTTCCTCTCCTTTTTTTTTCCTTTGGAAAAGCGAGAATAAACCGAAATAAAAGAGAGAAAATAAAATAATAGAAAGAAAATTAAAACAGAGAAAAAAAGGTGACAAAGCAGAAATCTCTTGACTCCTCACTCCCTTGGAATCCAAGTCATTGCAACACGCCCGCCACATCAGCCGACCTCGAGGCCGTGCGGTTGACAATAGGATTGCCCTCCTCCTCCTCCTCCTCCTTGATGGTGGCTACTGTTGCTCGCCTCCTTCTGCCGACGCAGCTCCATCACCTTCCGGTGCGAGTTCGAGTGCTGAGTTGACACGAATGTTGGGCTCGCCGCCGGCCTGTACTCCGGCACCAGCCGCCGCGTCTTGTACCGCACCCCGCATGCGTTGCACAGCGTCTTCGGCCCCAGCGGCCCCTCCCTCCACTGCGGGGTCTTCTCCGACTCGCAGTGCGTGCACTGCCGCCTTGCTCCTCCCCCGCCTCCTTTGGCCTCCGTCGGCCCCGCTCCCTCGCCCGGAGCTGCTGGGGAAGTTCCGGGCAGCCTCAAGCGCTTGTTCCTCAGCCTGCTGCCGGAGAGAGCAGGCTTACTGTGTGAGTTTGAGTGCTGAGTCAGCAGGACCGTTGGGCTTGCCGCTGGCCTGTACTCCAGCAGCAGCTGCCCCGACTTGTACCGCACCCCGCATGCATTGCACAGTGTCTTCGGCCCCAGCGGCCCCGCCCTCCACTGCGGTGTCTTCTCCGACGCACAGTGTGCACACTGCTGCCTCGCTCCTCCCCCACCTCCTTCGGCCTCCGCGGGCCCCGATCCCTTGCTCGCTGGCGAGTGGATGCGCCTAGGAACCGCCTGGGAAGTCCCGAGCAGCCTTGGGCGCTTGTTCTGCGGCCTGGAGGGCTTGTTCTGCGGCCTGCTGCCTGAGAGCGCAGACTTCCTGTGCGAGTTCGAGTGTTGAGTTAGCAAGAACATTGGGCTCGCTGCCGGCCTGTACTCCGGCACCAGTCGCCCCGACCTGTACTGCATCCCGCACGCATTGCACAGTGTCTTTGGCCCCAGCGGCCCAGCCCTCCACTGCGGCGTCTTTTCTGATGCACAGTGCGCACACCGCTGCCTCGCTCCTCCTCTGCATCCTTTTGCTTCTGCAGGCCCCGGTCCCTTGTTCAAAGCCACCTGGGAAGTCCTGCGCAGCCTTGAGTGCTTGCTCTGTGGCCTGATGCCGGACAATGCAGCATCTGGGAGGGTGGTAAGGGTACCCGTGAAGGAGTTTGCCCAGATGTCGGCGAAGGACTTGTCGGTGAACTGCGAGAGCCTCTCCAGCCCCATCGCGTTGTTGATCTGCACAGAGGAAAAGCACCATAAACGATTACTCTGAATCACAGCGCAAAACAAGTAGTAAAAGCAAATCAATCGAAATCGTAAATATCGGGGTAAATGACACAAATGGTCCCTAAACTTTAGTCAAATGTGCAATGTGGTTCCTGAACTTTGGCCAAATGTGCAATGTCATCCCTGAGCTTTTATTTTGTTTAATGTAGTCTTTTAACTTTTAGTACATGTTCAATTCAGTCCCTAAACTGTATTTTTGTTTTTAGTCTGAGTCCCAAGACCGTATAAATGTTCAATGTTGTCCTTCCATTTATTAAAGGACAATATCGAACATTGTCATATAGTTCAGGGACTAAATTTAAAATATACCAAAAATCTAGGGACCACATCGAATAAATTAAAAGTTAAGGGACGACATTGCACATTCGGCTAAAGTATACGGACCACATTAAACAAATTTAAAGTTGAGGAACCACATTGCACATTGAGACAAAGTTCAGGGACCAATTGTGTTTTTATCCCTAAAAATCGTCTCCAGAAATGAAGCTGCTCTCAGAAAAAATGGGTTAAAAAAGAAAGCTCAGAGATACACAAATCTATGTAAGTTTATTTTGTGCGATTCCAATTGAAAATGGCAATCATTACCTGGGTCACATAAGAAGAGCTTTGAGCAAGAAACACAACAAATTCTTGCTTCTTTCTCTCAAAACTCAGTTTAGCTTGATCCATCGTTTGTCGCTCTCGTCGCAAATCTTCCAGCAGTTTTTCCCTTCTCCACTTCAAGTCCTCCATCTGGTTTTCCATTTCGTGGTAATTTGCGGGAAGACCGGATGCACCCGACGCCGACGGTACTGGAAATCTCACATCCACATCCTCCCTTATATTTGATAGCAGGGACAAATGCAGCAGAAGAAGATTCGTGTTATATTTAGCCAGGTGAAAAACACAGTCTACACCTGACTAAAAGGAAATATAACAAGAAAGTACACACTTTCCCGTCATACAAAAATCACAGAACTTCTTCCAATAGAACTGTATATGCTTGCAAGTATTGACTTACAGCCGACCTAAAAGCATACTCAACTTGATACTTCTAATAATCATGTTCAAGACTCGAGCAAGAAGACAGTGACGGTATCGGTGAGAACATAAATGATTGCAGATAAGCAGATGTAACCAAAGAAGCCATCAAGATCAGGAACGACTGTGAATGGTCACTTTTTGCAGCACGCGCGCACACATATCTTTTATAGACCTTCCCAATGTGCAGGAATTGCTCAAACAAGTACAACAGAATTTGTACACGGAGGCACATTGTCATTGATAATAGCCAGAGTTGTCTTACCGGTTGCCGAGGGAATATATGCCAGGACCTCTAATCATTCCGCCATCCAATGAGATGGCTCCGCCACTAATAAAAGGAAGAGCACGTAGCATATCCACCCTCGTGCTGTATACTTGAGTCCGAGAGAAAAGATGGTAAAATAGAGTTTCCCTGAGACCATAACCACTGGCTGTCAAACAAAATATATGGGTGGTATCAATGTTGACCATATTGACTGCGAAGTCAAGGAAACCAGGCGGACGTTGCCCATTCGGTAATCTGGGCTTTATGAGATCAAGCCTTCTCTGTGGATCATCAGCTACAAAATCACCAACATATGGTCTGACCAAAATAAATGAAGTAAATTAGATTCTCCAAAAGGTTTAAACTCCACACCATCCATCAAGACAGATAAGAACGACACCTTATATCTTCTAAGCAGATAGCAAGAAATCTTCCATCTAAAATCCTTCCGATGGAAGAACCAAGCCCATGAAGACCAGCGCTTTTATCTATACTGCCATCTTCATCATATGTTTCTAGAGCCTTAATTCCTTCTCGAGTCTTGCAAACAGTGGTAAGCATGGTCTCCACTCCTAAATACTCAGAGAGAAGCCTAAACCCCGGTCAAAGAGAGATGAATTGAGATTAGAGCAAGATCATGAACTAAAACAGGACAAAGAAGTTCAACCTAGGAAATGCACCAACAAGTCTGAGATTATTAAAAATTGTAAGTTTGAACTACACCGCTTGCTTCGACCAAAAAAATAAAAACCTAGACCACTTGCAGCCACAGCTCATGAGCGTTCACAAGACCCACTCGCTGCTTCTCTTTCAACAATCTAAATATTGGTCTCAACACATCAACAAGTGCAGTGACTTCTAACAAAAAACCAGATGATTCAACTACTTCCGACAAAAGGAATTCAGTTCTAATTTCAAACTACTGAGGACAAACTATACAAACCTGCTAAGATTTTCATCATCTACTTTGCCTAAAGTAGCAACTATGCCGATGACATCCTGGGATAAATCAAGAATGGGAGCCTGAGTGCCATGACAAGTTTTAAGCTGGCACAAAATTCCAGCGGCAGATTTATCATGCTTCAATATTTGCTCAGTTGTTTCCTCCTCACCTCCATTGGAAAAGCTCTTATCTTCGGCGCTAGGTGAGGCAGAAGAATGATACTTCCCAAGAATGACTGAGAAATGACAAGTCAGCAATGAAAATTTTAGAAGATGCCTTAACAATCCAAGAAGTGGGCACTGTGCTTCGCTTTTCCTTTAAGAAAATCTATGACCTCACTCCACTTCGTGATGTGCTTACTATGCCAATTGGCATGGATATATGAGGCTGTCTTCGAGGTCTTGCCTTCTGATTTATTTTCACTAATGTTCGGTATGATCAGAGACCATATTGCAAGGAAAGAAGCCCGGATTACAACCTCCGTTTAAAAAGGTCTCCAAGGTGTAATAGGTATTCACGCCGCAAGCATCAGATTTCAGATAACATACCTTCCTTATCAAGAATAGAGTCATCCAACATGTTTTTCTGAGCCTTTAGAGATTTTATATTGTCCTCATGCTGTTTGATTTTTAGACCGAGAGACTCTAGATCATCTTGAAGTCTCTGCAGAAACACAGGTGAATATCAGCTGTATTTAATTGATCAATCAAAAATAAGTTCTCATCCGTTTATTGATATGCATTAAAGTCAATAGAGACTGAATGGTAAAAATCATTGCGCTTAATAGCCTAAACTGGAGATGAATGTTTGACTTGTATGACTCTCCAAGAAACTCCCGAGACTTTTCAAATACAAACCTTAAAACTGTTAGTTGATGTATCTGCCTGTGAAACACCTCCACTTAGCACTCCATTGTTCCCATTAGCAGATCCTTCATTCTCATCAATAACCACTGATGCCAATGAGCCTTGGCTAGCTAATGCTGTTGTGTTGTTGGAAAGCTGCAAAGAGGTGGACATCATCAACTAATTCCCGTGGATAGTCAAAACAAACAAGATGAAGGATGCAGGTTGTGCGATATGGAGTAAACTTGAGCTGCAAGTATCAAAATGAGTATATAACCATCACTCATACACAGAGAAGACAGTGCACGATTTGAGTAAAAAACGTTTGAACTTTTCTTACTTCAGACTGTCAATGGTCCAGTAATGATTAACAAAATATGGGCTTCAATAGATAGCTTCTCATGTAACTGTAGAAACCAAAGAACAAAACTTCTGATACCTGAAATCATCACAGTATCTGCCCATTTCTTTCCGCTAAGTTCGGTATATTGACATAATTGCAACAACGAACTTTTTTTGTTGCATCAGAATCAAAAGTTCAATAAAAGGTATGGAGCTTATAGCAGTTTGCAAATTTAGCGTGTGCTCAAAGAGTGAAATGCAGGTTTTCGCATAGCGATGGATAACAAAAATTCTAGGCAACAAATCGAATTGGCAACGTTCGAACTTCAAAATGATCTTTCCTAATTGATGAATCTAACTGGCTAAGGGATGTCATCAGATTCATACCCATTTTCAAACCAATTGGTCCAACAACACCCATACAGCGAGTGCTCAGTTCATTCAGCATAAAACACATTAAGCACTCCCATCAAGCTCCTAACTTTTTTTGTTTGTCAAGATTAGATACACTTTAGCAACTCCATGTCTCTCCGAAATTCACCCGAAACGCCATACAAGCTCGAAAGCTGCGAAATTTCACAAACCCTGAACCAGGATTCTCCCAAGCAATCAACCAAATTGTCTATTCCGGACCCACATTGCCAATCACGACTCGAATTCCCGACAAACGACATAGAAATCGAATAGATACGAAATCACCCACGTCCAGTTCCACCAAGATCGTATCAGTATCAAACCCGCTTTACATTCTAAAGCTTTTCTTTCGTTTCTCCCCTGTTGCCCTTCCTTTTGTCGAAGACCCATATGAAGAGTGTAAAGATAATCACGGAGAAGAGCATGCGACATGAGCAAGCACACAGAAAGCACGAGGAAAATTTGAAGGAGAAGAGGACAAGAGACTAGGGGAATGGATCGACGGGCCTGAGAAGGAGACATGGGGGACAATGGACGGGCTTGAGAAGCAAGATGTTTCTCTCCTCTTCTTCAATGGCTGCCCTGTCGTGCGATGGAACTTTGCTGATGCAACGATAGAGATGGGTATGGTCGCTCCTTCGTCTTGGATGCGACTGACTGTGGGGTCGAGATCTTCTTTTTACCTTTTCCTTTTTGGGGTAATATCAACTGGACTGAGCTGTTGCAGATGCAGAGCATCCGGTGGATTTCTTTAGGGTTTATTTATTTTTATTATTATCACAAAAAATCTCAAATTCATACATCAATAATAAATTTACGTTAAAATAATTTTTTAACAATCAAAAATCCTAAACTGGTAAATCTGTGATAAATTTACATCCGTTAATTTTCGTTAAATTTTACTGTCAAATTGCTTAGTTAAATGACACATGGTAGTTGACGAATAAACCGTTTTAGGGTTTTACCCGTCGTTTGTCTTAAGTGTATTAGTTTGTGATTTTTTTTCTATTAATTTAATTTATTGGAGAGTAAATTATCACAGATTTATCGGTTTGAAGTTTTTGATGGTCAAAAAATTAATTTGGGGTAATCAATTTGGGGTTTTACGTAAATCTATCAAACAGTGAGTCGAGTTGATAATGATATGACCAAAATTGACTAATTTAACCCGTTTTGACCCATTTTCATGCAATAGAAATCTTGTGACCCATATCCGACACTACCCTTATTGCTAAAATACTTCTATATTTAATCAAATCTACAAAAAATTTATACCCAAATTAAGGTGAGAGCATGCAGCGAGCGAGCGTGAGATCGAGTGAGGGCGAGAGAGAGTGAAGAGAGGGTCATAGAGATAGGTTGGGTCTAAGTAAGTTGTGAATTTATTTAACATCTATATTATTTTAGGTCTTACCATTCTAAACCCATTTATGACTCATATACTGAATATAACTAACTCATATAACAACCCAAATAATCAAATATAGGTTAAAAAACGTGTTAATGATCCATTTTGACAAATCTAGATTTAACTTAAGCTCTCAATTTTAGGAGGTCATTGATTCACACGGGATTAATTTGTCGAGAGATTTTCCATGTCAGCTTGCCAAGGCAAATATATTGCTAACGTGGAAATGCCATGTCAGATGACTAATGGGAATTTTTGGATGGAGGATTGACAGGGACGGATTTAGGATAAGAGTGAAAGTTGAAACAATAAATCGGGACATACTTGAAATTAAGCCTAAAGTTTGAGGTTTTTTTTTATAAAGAAAATGGGCCTAAATTCGACCAATTGGGTTTTCACGTGGAATATTTAAAATCTCAAAAAACAGAAAACAAATGCAATTTAGAGGAAAACTAAATTGCCAGTGTATGTATTTGGTAACCATATAATTCGTCGAGGGAAAACTTATTGAAAATCGAATTAAATATCCGGGACAACTTTCGGAGCTAAACCTTTATAATGTCTCTTAGGGCCCATTTGGTTCGATTTTGGGGGAATGGATTTGGGGGAATGCAAATACCTTTAGGCTAAAGGGGTTTTCTGAAATACAAGTAGTGTTTGGTAAGTATTTTTTAAAATCAACTTGGGCTAAAGGACTTTTGCTAATATTTATAAAAAAAAAAAAACTCCGGTGGAGCTAAACCACCAGCCACCGTCGCCAGCCAGATCTGGTCGCCGGCCAACCGCTGATGGCCAGATCTAGTTGCGACCACCGCCGCCTGGGGTCGCGTGACCCTCAGGCGGTGGTCGCCGGGGTCGAGCTAGCCCTCAGGCGGCGGTCGCCGGCCACCGGACCTCGGTCTGGGGAAGATGAACAGTGGCAATGAACAATGCAAGTTGCATTCTGAAAATGTAACTTTCCAAAGCATCTCCACCCTTGCATTGGCCAAAAGTCCCTTGGAGAGCATTCCAAATGCAATTGCATCTCCCCAAAGTGAGTAAAAAAAGTTGCCAAACACCATTTGCATTTGGTCAAGAGACTTTAGAGCCCAAATGAGCATTCCAAATGTTGAATCAAATGAGGCCTTAATTAGTGTCTATTTTTTTTTTCTCACGGTTTTTGCTGGACCAGAAGCTTCTGGGCTTGTAAAGTTCGTCCATCTTTGAATCATTGCGGGCCTGTTAATTTGAATATGAAACTATAGATATTCAGGACGATGGCCCCAAACTCAAAAACCCTAAAGTCCCCGGTCTTAGCTTTATGAATGCCAAAAATAAAGGGACTTCTTTATCTTTTGTATTGATCAAATGCATTTATTTTTTTTTATCTTTAAGCTATTTTTGTTGGTGTCTATTTTTCAAGTCTAATCGCACTCAAATCAAGAAAAGACAATTGAAAATATATATTTGGCCTCTTTTGGTGAGGTCATTTTCTATGTGCACGAGCTCCCCCCACTAAAATATAATTACGTGGGGTTAAGCTTGATTAGTGGTCTATTATGTCATGTTGATATTCCTAGTGGTCGCAATCATCAAAGCAAATCACCCCTAGCCTATGTTGATTTTTGAGGCCAATTTCACATCGCTTAGATAGATATGGGCCGATGAGTAAACGGATTAGATTGAGGGAGACGAGCAGATGTGGATTGGACATCACCAAATCGATCATTTAATCGCCGCGATATGTTTATGAGATTGACTTTATGTTTTTGACGTTATCGTGACCGTTGAATCATGTAAAACTCATTTAAGATTTATTATCATCACTAATTCGTGATGGGTCTTGTTACAATCGCGAACTGAGATCGACGTAAAGGGCGTAGGCTTAATTATTACATGGAAGTGGAACATCCTATTCGAGAAAACAAAGGATGAGTTCATACTTTGTGTAAACTTTAAATTGAGAAGCTATATTCATCAAAAGTCTATAAATATTTTGAACATAATAAGCCGTAGAGATGTGTTAGAACAGTAATTCCCACCATCATATTGTTGATTTAACAAGTCAAATCAATAACTATCAACGCAAGGAAACACCATAATGGACAATTAACCTATAATATAGATGTAATGTAATAGTCTACTGCATCCGAATGTGTTATAAGAGTTCTTTCACTTGTGGTGTAAATTTGCTTTGAAAGAGGAGGAAAATTTGACTTCCCATCTACTTGGGTTATAATTTGACTAACTTTGAGTCGTGCCACTGACTTAGGGTAGTTAATTTTTCAGTTCTACTACGAGAGTTCGTTTAGTACCGCTAGAGCTAAAAACTGTGTTGTGAAGCGACACGATTCCCATATTAAATGTTTTAATATTGTAGCATCTTAAAAGATATTATTGCGGCTTCTTGAAAACAGTCATAAGAGGTGTTGCGGTTATCAAACCTGTCACACCCCTTTTCACATTGATGTGGAAAAGATTATACCAAACATACTCTAGGTAGTACTTTCAGGCTCTACTTGCTTCGGCCATACTACCTCACTTAACCGGAAAGAAAAATGACCTACGCTTTGAATGAACAACACAAATTAGTCTGTACTTTTCTGTATCTAAGTCTTTTCTTTCAATTCACACCTAAGACATTTGTAAGTACTCACATTGATTTACCGATACAAGATTTCGGGGTTCACATCGTTACTCACTTCGAAATGACTACAATCATCGTTGTTGCTTCTACTGGTATATATCTAGTTTTTATCCTTCACATTAAAAATTAGAATTTGGTCATTCTCAAGTCATTGAGATGAACTCAAAGACTGTCTTTGGCCATGAGCAATCTTGTCGTTATGCATGATGAACATGGCTATGGTATGATAGAAAACTCATATCAATTGAGCCAGAATAATTACAAATTCCATTAAATCAAAATTTTGAAGGTCTACCGAGGAAGAGTCTAGATGATGCTAGGGACCAAAATTGTACGTGCATATCTGGAGGGACACCCCAGCCTCCGCTCCCCTTGATATCTTGTGGGCCCCCAAACATCGTCGTGATATACACATGCAATGTGGGCCAGGATGGCCCTGTTCAAAAGATGGTCTCCTATATAAGAGGCTGGGGATGCATTTTTTCTAGGCCCTACACAAAAGAAAAAAGAGTTGGAAACTTTCCAAAAAATCATATGCACTTTTCATCCTCAAATCAATTTTGAAAATCTACAATTTGCATCTCCGTACAAAATTGCCAAGTCAAAAAGACTAATCTGTGCCTCAAATACAGCCAAACCCTAAACTCATTATCCCCCCTCCTTCCCTTCATCCAAGCCCCAACATTGTCACTGAGCCTAATCGATGCCATGCCAATCCAACCCAACCCAAGCCCTCCTTTGTGCAGGTCTCTCTCTCTCTCTCTCTCTCTCTCTCTCTCTCTCTCTCTCTCTCTCTCTCTCTCTCTCTCTCGGGCTCGACAATGATTCGAGCTCGACCTGGGTTTTGGTTTCTTAAAGCGGCAAGTGGTGATGTTGTGTAGTGCCGGCGGTCGTGGGTGGCACCGGGAAGAGGGGCTGAGCTTGGAATGGGTTAGGGTTTTGGCAGGGTGGATTTTATGGTAGTTGGGTTTAGAATGATAGGAGGGATAAATTTAGAAGGAAAATGACAAATCCGTAAAAAGGATTTAAGCTCAGATGGAGCTTGAAATGGGATCTTAAAAGAGAGTGATTTTTGTAGGTTTTGAAAACCGAGAACAAAATTTGATGTGCGAGTGCAAAAATGAGCAAGATTTTTATTTTGAAACTTTCTCTAAAAATTGCCTATGTGAACTATAGCCTCGGGGTCATCATTATATACACAATAATAAAAACATGTACGTATATATTGATTGTTGCCACTGTCATATTCACTTGAAAAGTTACGGGCTTGATAATTATAAATACAAAGGTAACTTTACATACATCGCGAAAATTTGTATGACATCAGGGATTCAGTAACTTCGTAGAACACTACAAGCGGTCATCTACATTGAGAGATTCTTATGTGAGTTTAGTCAATAGGGTAAGCCAATCACATATGAGAGAAAATGATCGATATATAGATTATTTATAATCATCTTAGGTTCTTGTTAAAAAAAATAAAAAAATTCAAGCACCTAACCTTTGAATATATGTTGTGCAAACAAAATACTCGTGGAGTCATTTGTTGGCCTCATGCATATGTCATGGCCCGAAGCATTGGATAGTTCTGGAGGTTTTGTGAATGATGGACCGTAACTGACCCATGAACGAGAAGGCGGGCCCTGAGTGTTCTAAGTACTAGGGTTTTCTT